GGGGAAAGGAGGAGGAGGAGGGGGAAGGGAAGAGAGAAGAAAGGGGTTAGGGTTTAGGGCACGATAGGGAACGTCTGCAACCGCCAATAACCGCTGTCCAGTCATACAAGGGTTCAAACCCTAATCCCAAACCCTAAACCCTAAACCCTAAAATCCCGGGGGCGCCAGTTGAGCACCAGCCAGCCACGTCAGCACAAGTGACCGTTCAGCTCCCAACCGTCAACGGTTTGTTGGCTCCCTTGATGGTGCTGCCAGCAACGCATGACTGGTAGAAGAAGGTTGAGTGCGAGCAGTGGTCATGGCACGACTTGTTTAGCTGGCACGTGCCAAAGTGGAACCCTGCCAGGCGCTCAGGGGTCAGGGTTTAGGCGGCCAAGGATTGTTTTGACATACCATATTTGCGCTCATAAGGAGACCGCTGAATTCCTGTTTGTTGGCTGCTGTGGCACTGTTTTTCTCAGGGGCTCATAGCGCAGGCTTGCTCGTGCAAGCCGCCCAAGGATTTGGTTTGAGCGAGCGTGAACACCCTACTTTTGGCTACGCACCAATTGACGGCATGCGCACGTCTATCTCGGTTGTCATGAATTTCAAAGCGTGCACGAGATGCAATGCAGGCTGGAGACCCAAGGGCACTCACAACATCACCGTAACACCGTGCGAGATTTGGAAGAAAAATGCTTACATTGCTATAAGCGAGCACAATACAGAACCTCCATCACCATGCGACCACAGGCACTTTTTCCTCTGCTGCCCCAGCATTCTGTCGGCCACACTTTCACAATGGCTGCGGCCTCGTCTGCACTACATACACAGCGTCGCCAATCAGACAGCCCTCTACGTCCTGTGGGCCACCAAACTCATGCTCTAGCAGCGCCGCCACTCCTCCCAGGCGACTTCCAAGTTGCTTCCGTGCCTCAAGGCTGCGAGAAAGCACCTGCTTGCTGTAGTCCAGCAGCTGCGTAGAGCACTCGTGCAGCACACCGGCAGCAGGGTTGTCACCTCTGCCGCCACTTGCGGCAAAAGCGACAGCGTTCGTCTGGGCTGGCAGGAGGGCCTGGGTGAAGTTCGCAAATGCCAGCGTCGACACATGGCCGCTTGCCTTGTCCACCGCAAGGCGCCAGGCACTGCCACGCCTGCCGCTGGCTAGCGTCTCTCCCAAGCCAACCGCCACCTCTGCCACTGCGGTGTCAGGTGTGTCGCCCAAGGGGCTAGCTGTGTGCAGCACGAATGAAAACTGCGGAGCAAGCATTGCCTGCACCAGCACTGCCATGGCAGCATCGGCCTGCTTCACGCCAGCCACACGGCGACTGAGCACGGCCCTGCGCGTGTGCAGCGAGGCCCAGACCGCGCTGATGGCTGCGGCGATGTCCTGAGGCCTGTCAGAGGGGACGTTGGGCACCGATTCGTACAGCCCTGCGCCACTCATGCCGGCCAGGTCCTCCACGTTGGCGCTGGAACGGCACATTAGCGGCACACCAGCAGGGAAGACGCCCATCACACTGCGCAGCACGGCCTCTGGTACTGGCACGGCGCGCAAGAATGCCTGCAGGCAGAACGCAAACAAAGTGGAGGGGGCCAGAAAAAGCAACGCCCTTAGCAAAAGTGCCTGGGCGCAGAATCGGTGGGCTGAAAGGCGTTTGGCAACGATTAACAGCTGTTCAAACATTTCCCATGCCTTGTGTGCGCCACAGTCGAACCTCGCCAAGGCACCTCACAACAACCACACGCACCTGCAGCTCTTCACACACCGCTTCCAGCTGCGCTAGGGGAGCGGTCTCCGCGGCCGCCATCAGCTCGCTGTAGCGGGCCTGCCGCTCTGGCGAAAGCGCCGCGATAGCCAGCTCCATTGTGCCAAATGGCACACAGCAGCCTGGGGGCGTCTGAAAGCCCCCACCAGCTGCCGACAAGGACTTGGCGGCCAGCTGAGCGTGGAAGGGTCAAAGCGCAGGGGTTGACAGTCATTGAGGTCAATGGGAGGGCAGGTGCAGGGTAGCCGACCACAAAATATGTTGACACTGCAATTGTGCATCATGTAAGAAACGCTCACACGTCCATCTGCTGCCAGCGCACCTGCTCAAGGCGGCCGCATGCTGCCGCCTTGGCTCCGCCCACAGAGGCCGTGCAGTCCAGCAGGGCCACCACGCCTGGCTTGGACACCTTGCTCACGGCCAGCGACCAGGTAGCACTGTCCACCCCGTTGTTGCTGCTGGCCTGCGCTGCTTTGCTGCCGTTGCCGTTGCTGCTGCTGGCACTTGTCGCCGCTGACTCTGTGGCCGTAGCCGGGCGCAGCTGCACACCCTCTGGTGACGCCACCAGCGCAACCTGCTGCCCGAGCAGCGGCAGCACCTGTGACGCGATGATGTCGCGGTCCTCCAGCGTCACAAATGGCACCCGCTCCTGCCGCGCGCGCACACCTGCGCATGTAAGGATGGCAGCGCATGGGGCAGGCTTTGAGCGGAGCTGTGAAACCAGACGTGCAGAGGGGGTGAGACTCAGGACGAGCAAACCGCTTGAAGCCCTCATCGCGACGCAACGCACATGCCGCAGCAATCCTTGGCTGTCCCCCCAACCACTCACTGCCACAAGCCGTTCCGCACAGGCCCAGGGCGGGGCATCTCACCAAGGTGGCTGAGGTGCGGCAGCTCTTGTGTTAGCACGATGCCCTTGACACAGCGCCCCGCAGCCGCCACCTCCTCGTCGCCGTCCGCCTCGCGCAGCAGTAGCACCACGGGAGCAGTCTCTCCCTCCAGAGCCCCGGGGTCCAGGCGCGCCGCCTCAACCAGGCGGCCCACCGCAGTGCCCGATACGAGTGTATCCCAGGGCGTCACGCCAGCCAAGGACCGCGCCGCCACCAGCAGCAGGGCGGCAAGCTTGCTGAGCTGAAACACCAGGCTGGAGCGCACCTCACCCTCGGTGAAGGTGCGCACCACCCAGTCATCAACGCCCAGGGCACGGCCCAGCTGCTCAGCGCGCTCCGGCAGCACCCCCAGCAGCGTGTCTGTGTAGCCCTCTGTCAGCCGCAGGCAGCGCTCCAGGGTGGCCTTCAGCCTACGGTTGTGGGCGTTGACGGGAGGAGGTGCAGAGTGCGAGGCGGGGATGAGGAAATCATGAGGGATGGGGGTCTTGCGAGGTCAAGAGGGGGGGTATTAGCCAAGCCATCGGTGATAAACGGCCGATTCGGCATTCTAAAAGTGAAGAGCTCACAGAATTGGCAACCTATGATGCCACTTGCACGCAAGTTGTTTGCAAACCCCGCCCTATCCCCTTCTCCACGCACCCCCGCCCCGCCCGCCTCCATCTCAGGAGTTGCTTCACCTGAGCGCATTATCGCGGCTGTCGTACTCTGCCTCCTGCTGCCAGGCCGTGATCTCGTTTTCGAGGGCCACGCACTCCCCGGGGCTCCAGCCGCCCAAGCCCAGGTTCCTCACGCCCAGCAGCAGCATGGCCAGGGGGTGCGACCACGCCACAGATGACTTGGCCTTGGCCATGGCGGCAGCGCCGCCCTGGGTTTGCAAGGAAGGGGTTGCATGCAATTATGCAGGGGTTTCAGGAAGAGAGTATCAGTTGCGAGAGCCAGAGCCGATAGGGAAGTAGCCTTGTGACTGCAGCCAGCCCGTGTCAACCTAGGGCTGATTAGGGTGTCCTCATCCCTAACGCAGCCTACCTGACACCCCCATAGCAAAATCCCGTGTCACTTCAACCCCACCATCCTTCCAGCCCGCCCTCCCAATTCCATCACACTCCACCCCAAAAAAACCCACCCGGGGCATCCCCTCCGCACCTGGGTCTCCAGCCCATTGATGAATCGGCTCATGAGCACAAACAGGTACTCCTCACACCGCAGCTCAGCCAGACGGTAGCGCTGCCGCATGGCTAGCGAGGCGTCCGGGGCGTCGTTGCGGAGACCGCTGGACAGGGCGCGCAACAGCAGTGCGCGCAGGGTGGTGGCGGCGTGCGCAACCCCCATAATCTCAGACAGCTGCGGCTCTGTGCCCAGCCCATCCAGCCGCGACTTGGCACCAAGAAACCCATCCAGCGCCTTTGGGGGTTGGCAATCAGAGAGGGCTTCGAAGGGGGAAAGCAGCGCAGAAAAAGCAGGCTAAGCATCGGCAATAAGACTGGAATGTAGGACAGAGGAAATACGTCGGCTTGACGACTTAGGGCGGTGTGGTCCTGCATTGATCGCATTGACAAACACCAGCAAACCATCCACCCAGTTGCGTGTGTGGCACGCCGCCCGACCCCACGCCCCCCACCCGACCTGTGCGTCCGCGGGGTCCTGCGTGAGGACGTCCCTGAGGCCCTCCAGGATGGTGGTGAGGCCGCCCGCGTTGAAGAACTCCCTCAGCTCCGCCGCAAACACGCGGAACTCGTCCACAAAGGCGCCGCTGTACTCCCCGGGGTTGGCCGTGATGCGCGCCAGCATGGCCTGCGTCGCCACCAGGTCCTCGGGGCCGGCGTTGCGGTGAAGCTTGTTCTGCAGCGTGTGCTTGATCTCCTGCTTGAGATCCTGGGGTGCAAAAGGGCCCAAGCAGGGGCACGCGAGCGTGAGGATGGGAACTAGAAGGACCTTGGCATAAGCCCAAGGAGAGGCGAAAATCAGCCAATGGCAGGGCAGTCGTCCGCACAGGACGACCAGCAAACAAGGGCGCTGTTGCTGCGTGCCCCGAATTCCCAGGAGGGCTCACGTGTGGGATGTCGCTGCGGTGTGCAATGTCTCGGATGCGCGTGAGCGGCACTGTCTGCGTAAAGTTGGCGTTGAAGCTGGGCAGCCGTGCGTGCAGGCGGCGCGCCAGCAGCGCGCGCAGGCGGAGTGTGGTGTCGCTCATGCCCCGGGGCCGGTCCTCCTCTATGGCCCACTCAAGGGACCGGAAGATTTGCTGCGCCGTGCGCGCGTGATGGTTGGGTCGGTAGTGCCCGCCGCCCTCGGCGCAGGCGATGGCCCCGCTGTTGACCCACGACAGGTACACCAGGGCCGCAGCCAGGGAGGGCGTCTCTGGCCGCATGCGCGGCGCCGCGTCCACCAGCAGGCCGCGCGCCACGCCCAGCTTGCCCAGCCAGTTGGGGGCGCCCTCGTCGCCGCGGACCAGCTCCAGCACCGGGCCTGCTGCGAGGCCGCTGGTGTCCCAGCGGCCTGCGCGCTCGCGCGAGTGGTCGTTGCTGCGCATGAAACGCACCTCGCGGCCCTGCCAGGCGGGGGTCAGCTGCTCGTCATCCCCAGACGCCGTCGACGAAAACCCTCCCTGGAAAGCGGTGCGAACGTCCAGCATGGGTGCAATTGGTGAAGGTGGTACGATGGTCCCGCGAGAGAGCCAACAAGGTCTTGGCTGCACCTGCTTGCTGCTCGGCGCGCTTCATGATGCCACGAACGCCAACCCTTGGGAAGCCAGTGCCCAGCAAGAACTTATTTGATGTGCAGTAATGTGGTGTGACACGTTGCCATGAATCAAACATGAGAGTTGAGAAAGCCAGGAGTGCTGGGGTGTGCAGGCGTGAGGCATGGGAAGCAAGAGCTGGTGGAGCTCAAGACGTCCAGGATGGCTGCGATCAGGGTCCACTGCAGCCCCGCTGGTTGACGCCCTCGAGTGAGCTTGCTGTGAGCCCACCTCACCTCGTCTGTGTCGGTGGTTGGGTATGACTCGCTGCCCAAGCGGCGCTGCTGAGCGTCAGCCGCAGCGCGCGCTCCCACCGCTGCTGCCAGGTCCTCAAACCGAGGCTGACCCTCCTGCAACTCCCGCGCACGCACATCGTTTTCTTTCGTGCGCCCCCACTCGCAGTGCACGTCCTGGCTGTAGCCTGCACCCAGGACCTGCGTTGAGAGTGCAGTCGAGGGAGGGGGCAAGAGGGGGAGCACGGACACGTTCAGCACTCGTCACAAAGCAAGTGTGCAGGAGGCCGCACGCCGCCAGCGCAGACCAAGCTGCCCTGCACCCGAGTCAACTGTTGTCTCACCTTGATGCCGCGGTTGTTGCCGTCCTCCCAGGCGTCAGAGTCTTTTCCAACACATACGAGCTGCAGTATGGCACCATAAATGAGGTTAAATTGGTAAGCGCAGTGCACAAGGCAACTGATCCATGCATCTAAGAAACCGACATAGGACCAGGTGCGCTGCGCGGCGCTCAGTGGACACATCAGCTATTCCTGCAGGCCCCCCCCCCCCGGGCGTCACCTTGAACTCCACATGGCTGCCGGCGTCCAGCTCCACCTCTCCCGACCACACATGACCTTCGCTCCACTTGAGATGAAGTCCACGGGCAGTATCCCACCCGCCCAGGCCGGGCGCGTTGCCCACCACGCGCAGCTGCTGGCCGTAGTTGACCTGTGGAGCGGGCAGGGGCAAGCAACATAGCGTGAGCCCTGCCATGGCGCAGGGTATACACCAGCATCGCGCATACCAAGTGCGTTCGCCTGCCACATGCGTGGTGCCTGACGCTGGACGGTGCGCACGATGCAAGCAGCCCTGACGCCACATGGGCAGCAGGTGCGCACTCGCACCTCTTTGCGCACGGCGAAGCGGACCGGGACTTGCTGAGCCTCTTGAGCAAAGCACTGTGGATTTCAATTGCAGTGATTAATAAAGATGCCTGTATCCATGGCAGTAGCGGGGCACCAGGGCGCTGCGACCGGAAAAAAAATGACCGGTGCCGCAGCACGAGCTGCGGCCGTCAGCGGCCCTACCTGCAACACACGCCGCATCGATCCCGGCCTGCTCGCCACCATCTTTGCTACACGGCCACTCTGGCGCATGATGCGTTGAGCAGGAGGCCGTAGGCCTCCCGCATGACCCGAATGCATTGCTGTCTGGTCCCCGTGGGCACGGAGACAGGATGTGAAAGCAGTGCTGTGCAATGCATATGTGTATGCGTTATGTCAACTGGTTTGGGAGGAAGTTCTCTTGGACTACCGTAGCTTGGAGCACTTTGTCAAGATCTTCCCATGCGATCTGCAACTTCCGTCACCGGCTCGCCCCTGAACGGCATTGATTGGTCATGTACTCATTTTCAGGCATGCTGGCGCCGCTAGCACTGCGTGCAGGCTGCGCGCGCGGCGGCGCCGTTTCGCTCGTCACTGAAATCGTGACAAAGCGGCAACAATGGCCACTTCCTGGCCTCCCTGGCATAAAGGGGGGCGCTGTACTTGCCCGGGAAGCAACATCAGGGCGCGGCGAGATTCCTTCAGGGGGACCACGGCGCGAGGCGCTGGTTGCGTTGCCCTTCACGGTATCCCGGGAGCAGGCGGACGCCGCATTCAACGCGTTCCACTCCAAGCACTGGCTTCAAAACCCCTCGCTACCACGCTGGCGGCGCGCCGCAAAAGAGGTGAGCGGGCAGAAAGCCAGACATGCTTGGCTCATGGCAGCTTGCAGTTTGCAAGGAGGGGGAGCTTACAGCCTTCATAAAGGCTCCTTGGCCGCTCGTGTGCCCCTGCGCAGAGCTACCTGCCTTTCTGGGTGGGTGACGCACACGTGGATGTCGTGGTGTTGAGCGCTGAGCTGGGCCGTGACGAGCTGGTGCGGGAGGTAAACAAGCGCACCGGCAGGTGAGAGTGCACGTTGTGAGGCGCTGCCTGGGTGTGCCAGGACATGTTTCACAGATGTGTGAGTCATCGGCTAAGCGCAGAACCATAGAGTTTACTCAATTTCGCGCTGCGCCTTACTGCAGGTATGAGACGCGGTTCGAGACAGTGTGGCGGCGGGTGTCACTGCAGGGCCTGGGGTGGCAGGCCCACCACGCCCCTGAGGACCCTGGCATGCAACTCTATGCCTCCTGGAATTACCCCAGGTGGGTGGGAAGTCGCACTCAAAGGTTGACAGCGCAAAAGATTCCTCACCATATGTGACAGTTAGGCAGCAGCCAGCAATTGCAGCTGCAGGCTTGTATTGCCAAGCAGCACACAACTCACAACCCGAATCTTACTGGCACTGCACCTGCCACGAACCCTCCTCCCTTTCCCAGGTCTGACATTGAGGCGCTGCGCCCCGGCCCCCTCATCAGGGCAGCTCGTGCCATCACACCAGACATGCTGCAGGTGGATACCATGAGGAAGATAGAGAGGGGGGTGCTTTTGGCACCTACTGACTTCACTGACCACGGCCGCAACCTTGCTTTTGCCTGCTCCCAGGCAGGCCCAGGGGGACCTTCGGACACACGCCATGTGGGGGCCTTCACGGTGCCCCCCGACGTGGCTCGCCGCCTGCTGGTGTCTCGGATAGAGAGCGCTGAGCGGCGCCGGGCGGAGGAGCTGGTGGCCTCCACCACAGGCTACCGCCATGTGCGCTTTGTGGAGCTGGCGGTATCGTGGCTGGGCCCTGTGGGGGGCGACGGGCCACGGCTGTCGCCTGTGTATGTGCCGACTTTTGTCTATTCCTGGATCATGGGCGGCATCAAGGTGTGCAAGGGGTCGGGGAGGGTGTGCATCATTGGCTTTAACCGCGTTTTGCTTGTCTGAAGTAATGAGCTGATGCAAATACATGTTTTGTTTCTCACAGCAGCAGCAGCAGCAGCAGCAGCAGCAGCAGCAGCAGCAGCAAGCCCTGCACTGCACTGCGGTTGCTTGAACATGCGTAAGAACTGGTAGGACTGCACATGCCTGCATTCACTTGCCCTCCCTGGAACCACCCGTAGAGGCGCGCTTGCATGCATGCGCGCACACTTGCGGCCCCCCTCCATACATATATGTGCACGCGCGCGCGCACACACACACACACACACACACACACACATACATTTATGAATACCTATGTACATGCACGCACGCGCATGCATGTGCACACAAGGCATCAGCACCCATATCTGATCCGCGCAGATTCGGACGTTTGTGTCAGGATGCGACGGGCGTGTGTCTGGAGTGCACCACCTGGATGACACGAAGGTGGCGGTCCTGGCCACGTTGGCCACTGGCGGGGCACTTCTGCTGAGCGGAACAGCCGCAACAATGACGCCCACGCAGCTGTTTGGTGGGTACAAGTAGGCTGAGCTGATGCTGCGCGTTGTGTTGTGCTTGGGTTCGCATACCTTGTGGATAGGTGCACATCACAAGCAGCCAGCAAGTGACAATGCCCTTGCATCTGACTGGCAACCTTCCAGCGTTGTTTTCACCGCGTCACGCACCACCCACTCCATGGCTCACAAACAAACACGCGCAGTGAGCGCAGTGGCTGTCCCGTTTATTGCAAGTGGGCTGCTAGCGCGCTTCTGGCCCGCTGTGCGCCACCTGTGGCAGGTCATGAGCGGTCGGATCCAGCAGGCCTGGCACTCGCGCAGAGCGGGTGGCGAGACAGGTGAGGGCGGGCTTCAAAAGCCGAACCCTGAAGCAGCAGCCTGCAGGGGTCGTATGCATGGCACAATCGTATGTTATGGCAGGTAGGTGTTTTCCTGGCATCACTCTATCCAACGCTCGTCGCCACATACCCCTGCCCAACTAACTTGACCAATCGGCGCAGACTGGTCGGCAGAATTTGTGGGACCCTACTCACGGCAGCAGGAGCGGAAGCAGCGCACATCCGACACTAGCAGGGACGATGGTCCCGCGAGCGGCCCCAGGGCTAGCCCCGAGTCTTTTGCAGAGTTTATGCGGGAGTTCAGCCGAGACCCCTGGGCCTGGATGGAGCGAGAGGTCAGACGGCAGCAGGAGCAGCAGCGGCGGCAGCAGCGGGGCCAGGGGGGGGAGTCACAAGGGCGCGACCAGCGGTTCTACGACGCAGGTGATGCCTATTACGAGGCACAGCGCCGCCAGCAGCAGCGGCAGCAGCAGCAGTGGCAGCAGGACAGGTGGCAGCGGCGCGGGGCGGGCCCAGGGCAGGGGCCCGAGGTCGGGGGGCGTCCTGCGGGGCCAGACCCCCTGGGGCTCTACGCGCGGCTGGGGGTCCAGCCTGGTTGCAGCAAGGAGGAGCTGTCCGAAGCTTTTAGGGGAATGGCACTCAAGATGCATCCTGACAGGTACCAGGGGGATGCAGAGAAGGCGGCAGCCACTAAGCGCTTCCAGGTGAGCACAAGGAGGGCTTGCCTGCAGCCAGACCAGACACTAGCGCAACCGCTCTCAACACTGCTCTGCACCCCTCCTATTGCACTCCCCCTGGCAAGCATGACCCCCTTGCAAGTCCAGCCCCTCTCATACCGACCTCAACCCCAGGCGCTAACCGAGGCCTATCAGGTGTTGAGGGACCCAGCGCGGCGGCGGCAGTATGACAGCACTGGCCGTGCCTGAGAGTGTCGTTGTCAACGCAACGCAGTCATTCCGCTTACTTTTTTCATTGCAGCTTAAGCCTCTTTGCAGTGATCTGAAACATCGTTGGCCAGGTCCATGCGTGCTTACGGACTGACACCAACAGACAGGGAAATTCGACAGGCGCGTTTAGATGTTTGCAGATGGCAGAGCCTCGATTGAGCCCGCATCTAAGGGAAATCCATAAGGAAAACAGCTGTGCAGCAAATCACCACTGATGGCATGAGCAGCCTGCAATCCCTGTCTATGTGGGGGGGCACTACTGCTAGACAATCGCACTTAAAGGGAAACCACCACCGATTCGCAATCACGTCAGGGTGAATAAAAATGGTCAAAGCGTGTGCAGGACCAAGAGGACATCGTTGGTGCATCGCACAGGGCGAGGTGTTTAGCTTGGTGCAGCAGGCTCACGCCTCGGCAAGGGCAGGGTTCGGAGGACCCCCAGGAGCCGGGACAATCATCACGCCCTGTTTAAAAGAAAATCCCTTGACCAGCAGCCCTTGCTACATGCTCAGGCAGCCAGTTGGCAATGTAAGACCGTGCCCCTGGAATTGATCCAGGCAGCAGCATGGTTTGGGCATGAGGTAGCACACCAAGCGCCCCATACAGCCACTTTCCTGTCATGGTCGCCCATTCGCCTCGAGCGTCTCACTGGTGCTCATCACCGCTGCTGAGCATGCCGCCTGGCTGGCCAGGAGGCCCGCGGAAGGGGTCGTGAGCGGTCGGGGACCCGATGGCGCCCAGGTGCGGCGCCGTGGTGTGCGATCCAGCCGTGTTGATGTACATGCTGAATGAACCTCGCTCATACTGATGTGACCGCGGCAGGCTGCCCGCCACGTCACGGCTAGTGCTGCGGCGCTGCCCAATGCTGATGGCGTCAGAAGCCGCAGGGACACCGTGCTGTGGCCCTGCGCCGCGCGGGGTGGACGACACGTCGGAGTCTGCCTGCTGTGTGGCAGCTCCGAGCAGGGGGACGTCCAGGCCCTCCGCCTCCGCCTTGGCGGCCCCGGCGAAGGCCGCCTCTGCCGCATCCATCACGTCAACAGGCGCGCCGCCCGCCACGCCCTCGTTGCCAGGGCGGCGCCCGCATAGTGTGTTGATCCACTCGCGACCGACGTCCACGAAGGCCCCCGTGAGCAGGTAGACCAGCGCACTCATGAGCAGTCCGGCGTAGATGCCGTTTGCGATCGAGAACGTGAATGGCTGGATCACAATAGTCAGGAATGCGGGAATCGCCACCAGCATGTTGTGCCACTCAATTTGATGGGATTCCCCCATCATCATGGCTCCCACCAGCACCAGCACAGGAGCAGTGGCCACCTAATGAGGCAGGGAGGTGGTATGCGCGGTGGGGCTGGGGGCGGGGATGGCGCCAGTGCCCTGGGCCCTGGCACGCTGAGCTTCGGCACACGCGTGGGCTTGGAACCTGCACAGCAAAACGCCCCCCATCACCCCGGGGGCAGACACCCAATGCTGTGCCCATGGGCTCATAAGGAGTACCCTGCAATGTCCCCGGTCAAGCCAAGACCCCGACCCCACCGACCTGTGGGATGGATTGCAGGAAAGGAGCGAGGAACAATGCCACTCCAAAGCAGCCCGACACAGTCAAAGCCACGAGGCCTGTGCGACCGCCCTCTTTGATCCCCACTGCGTTCTCAGCCGCGATGATGACAGGAGTGGTTCCTGTGTGCATGTGGGGGCAGGGCAGAGGTTGGGGCAGGAGGCGCATCGGCACCCTGGCCATTGCATCCTCACGTGCTGACGCAGGGCTTCTGGCAAACCTCCCAAAGTTGTCCAGACAAACTCTTCTTGCCCTGCATTGCCTCGAAGTCCGCTCCATCAGCAACACCGCGCGCACCTGTCAGTGCGCCGAGCGCTGTGCCGATGCAGGCCGCCAGGTAGCAGCGCGTGGCCCCCGGGATGGCGCCGTCCTTCACCAGCCCGGCCAGGTTGCCCAGGCCGTACATGGCCCCCCCAATGTCGAAAATCATCACGAGGCTGTAGGCCGCCACCGCATTCCACGCGCCAGCGCTCGGCTCAACGAGGAGCGCTTTCCAATCAAAGCGGCCGATGCGCAGATGTGGGAGGTCAACAAAGTGCTTAGGCCAGCCGCCCGCTGCGGTGAAGTAGGCGATGGCCGTGACGAGGACGCCGGCCATGATGCCGCCGCGCACATTGCGGTAGGAGAGTGCCGTGATGAGCGCGAGGCCGCCGATGGCAAGGGCGGGCTTGAGGGCCAGCAGGTCCCCCACGGTGACCAGGGTCTCGGGGTCCGCCACCACGATGCCTGCGCTCTGCAGGCCGATGAACGTCAGCAGCAGGCCCATGCCCACCACCGTGGCCAGCTTGATGCTGTCGGGCACCACCGCCAGGATCACATGCAACGCGCGCACCACGGCCAGCAGCGCCACCAGGCAGGCCGCCGTGAGGCAGCCCGCCAGGGCCGCCTCCAGGCTGACGTTGAGGCCCAGCACCTGGCTGTACACGAGGTAGGCATTGAGGCCCATGCCAGGCGACATGCCAAAGGGCATGTTGCAGAACAGGCCAACCAGCAGGGAGGACAGCATGCTGGACAGCGCAGTGGCCGTCACCACTTCCTTGGCGGGCAGGCCTGGCGAGGTGTGGTGATTTGGGGAGATAGGGGGGCCGGGCAAGGTGGGTGGGTGGTGATGCGGCGAAAAACCGCATGAGGTTGGGCTGCAGAGCAAAGAATTGCCGAAAAAGAGGTTCTGCCATGAACATCAATGAGTTTGAATGGTGACGAAAAGCAACAACGCGGCAATGGAAGCCCCCCCCAGCGTTTGGACGGGCTGCTAGGGTTGTGTGCGGGACTCGGCAAGTGAGGCACGGCTGCAGTCCCCTCCCCTGGACCCAGCAGCAGGCATCAATGGCTTCACCTGCCACGGCCAGAATCTGGGGGTTGACCAGCAGGATGTAGCTCATGGTCAGGAAGGTGCACACGCCGGCTGCAGGGGTGGAGGGGCAGCAGGTGCGGTCGAAAGGCGCGCGAGAGTGCCAGGGTTGGGCGCTGCATGCCCGCTACGGAGGTGTACAGCTGGCATTATGCTATGGTGGCTGCAGCAGCAGCACCTCAAACCATGCCTGCAACCCTGCACGCAGCTGCAGCGCGGCGGTGGCCGCGCAGTGGCCGTGCTTGCCTTTGATCTCTGTTGAAATGGTGCTGCCTCGTTCGGTGATGTGAAAGAAACCGTCAAGGCGGTGTGAGAACGACATCCTGGCTCCTTTTGCGCGCTGCTAGCAGGCTCCAGGTGTGTCTCCTCGCGCCTGGTGCTGCCTTTGTGCTCTGTCAGCTGAGCCCCTCGCGCGTTCACGTGGCCGTGCACGCCCCCGCCTGATGCTCCAGGCAGTGCTGCTGTCCTGCAGCCCAAGATAGCAGGCACCACCTTTGTTTGTGAGAACGGGGCTTCAAGAGCCCTACTTGCGAAACAGGATTCACGTTTCGAAAGTGAACAGGCTGTGCAATGGAAGCACGGTCATTTCTCAGGTGGCTGCCAGATCTAGTATGGTGCGCGATTGAATCACGCGCACCGTTTTTTTACCTTCCTACGGCGTTTGTGTGATCTGCCGTCCTGCAGCTCGTCGCGGCCAGAGGCGAACAGTGCAAAACCTCGGTCTGATTGTCGTTATGCGTGACACGGGTGATGACAGTCTGCATACGCCCCACGGGGGTCAACCTTGAGCTTGGGGAGGGGGGCGCAGGTGTGCAAGCTGCATGTCATCTCGATCTGTGCAAGCCACTCCTATCAAATCAGCAAAGCAGCACAGAGGATCTGCTCAACAGAGCATGCACGTGTTGGTGCAACCTGCCCATAGCCGTAGAAGCCCTGCAGATAGCAAGGCTGTGAACTCTGGTCAACGTACCCAGCTTGTGGTCGATGAGCAATTGTTCAAGGAGATGCAGCCATAGCCTGACAGCAAGGGCGCCAGCCCAAAAATCCACACGCCAGCCCAGCTGCCGCCGCAGGACGGTTGCGCCTGGCATGCGCCCGATGATTTCGACCAGTTACAGGAAAGTCACAAGACATGTGTTGCTGCTGCGCCGCGCACCCGGTGTTCGCCGTGCCGCGCCTATCACCCGCCTGGGGCTCTACATGGTGGCCGCGATGGAGGGCTGTTTGGCCGCCAAGTAGAGGTCGATGGGTGCGAGGGGTAGGCCGCGCCGGCGCACCTCCTCGCGCAGAGCTGCTGCATAGGCCGCAAAGTCCTCCGCCTGCTCTGCCACCGCTGCCTCGGCCATCAGAGCCGCCTGCATACCAGAGCGGTGCTCCGCCTTGCACGCCGCGCCGCGTCGCGCCGCCTGCCACTGCTGGAAACGCTGCACGGCCAGGGCGCGTGCGCGTGCATCCAGGGCCTCCTGGCGCTCCTCCTCACGAAGCTGCTGCAGGCGCACGCCCCACGCCTCGCAGAACGCATGGTCCGCCTTGCGCTGGGCCTCAACTTCGCTCGCCTTGCGCGCCAGCTGCTGCTGGTTGCTGCGGTGGGCGGCCTCCTGCTGCTGCTGGCGCCTGTGTGGCAAGGGCATGCAACAACGTGCAAGCATTACTTGCGTGATGCAGCATCAACTTGGTCTGCTTGAAGCAAAAGGCCATGGCAATCCAGTTGTGCCTCTCCAGGGCCCTGTGTATGTGCAAATAGCACATCAAGTCGATGGCCCTGCACTCTCAGGCGCACCTGCGCCGCTGCGTGTCCGTATCCGCTGCAGCCCTGTCCTCCGCCTGCTGCACATTCGCTGCCAGCGCCTCCTCTGCTTTGGTGTGCCAGGCCAGGTAATTGCGCTCCATCAAAGCGACCTGAAGAAACATATGACAGGGAGGAAGCGAATGGGTGCAGGAATGCACTGTAATGGATGCCATCAGTGAAGGTTGTGCGTTGGCTCGCACATCTCCAGTTGCTTCGTTGTCGGTGTGCTGGCATCTGATATGACCGTAATTTTGCTCTCAGTCTTGGTGGCTGTGCACAAGCAAAAGCAGTCTTCACCAGGCACACCTGCGCAAGTCGTCCAGCCTCCTTTGCTGCCTCCTTGGTCGCCAGCGCTGCCGCTCGCTCCGCGTCAGTGGCTGCCTTGCGTTTGCAGTACTCTGTGTGGCGTCGCATTGCATTCAGGCATCGGGAGTGTTGGCCATTGCGCTGTCATAATTCCCAATTCAACCTTCTTTTGACATTGCATTGCTTTGTTGGGTCCTCCAAGCGCCCCAACGCGGGCTGCTCACCCTCCACTGCTGCATCAGCCAGGCGCTCGCGCTCCCTCTCTGCGGCCCTAAAGGCCTGCAGAGTAGCGTTGGCCGCTGTGGTGGCCTCATTCATGGCAGCCATCTTGGCGCGCCAGGCCGCCTCCTTCTCATGCAGCTCTTGGGCCTCCTCTGCCGCCTTGCGCTTGATCAGCTCTCCCTCCGCTTTGTCCATCGCCCTGTTGCAAGATGCATAGGGGGAGGTGAAACCGGCTGGGTGGATTGCAGGCCACTACCCACCTAGTGGTTGGCGTTTTGTAAAGCATTGTGCAGTCGGCATTGACCCAAAACCCTAGAAGCAGTCGGCGCCAAGATCTCCTTCCCACCTTTCAGCCAGGATGCGGGCCTTCACCTCCTCCAGCTGCTGTGACTGGGCATCGCGTTGCGCCCGCAGCCTAGCCCTCTCATCTTCAAGCTTGGCCAGCTCCACCTGCTCTGCAGCCTGCAACGGGCGGCCAGAAGCAATGGTTCGGTCGAACCAGTAGCTGGGCTGGCAAGTGCACGCAATTGAAGTTTCAATGCAGCTGCATACCACTTTCCCCGGTGCCCAATTGACGCAAGCCTCCTGTGCACACACCTCCAAAGCGCGCCGCTGCTGCTCCACGAACGCCGCTTCCTGTGCCTTGCGGGCACCGGCCACGCGCGCCTTGTGGGCCGTGAGTGCTTTGTTCTGTGCGATGACCTCTGACAGCAGCAGGCGCCCATGCAGCGCCTTGACGCGATCGCCCTCGTCGTGCAGCATCTTGTTGGCGCGCTGCAGGGCGAGCTGCCGCGATGCCGCTCGCTCCGCCGCCTCCACCCGGTCCACCTGAGGTTGGCAAGAAAGCCTGGTCTAGTGGCGCTATGAATCGCTAGACAGCAATGGTCAGAGGAGACAGCTTTCCCACCCAGCTGTGACGTGCAGTGCGCGCACCTCGATACGCGCCGCTTCGTCAGCAGCAATACGGTCTGTTGCTGCCTGCTCCTTGCGCGCGCGACTTGCCTGCGTGGTTGGGCATCAAATATGGTTTTGAATGCTCACGTGTGGCTGGCACAACTGACTTACTCGAACAGCGCGCCTGCAAGCAATGCTCCCAACTCCAGCGACGTCGAGCTCACTGTGTTCGTGTTGGGCCATCGCGCCGCGCGCGCCTCGCTGAGCTCCTTTCGCCGCAGGAGCTCCACCTGCTTATGCGTGTCCGGGACGAATTCCTTCACCTGCCGAGGAATATTGTGTTGTTAAATAGCAGCTACGTGCCTCTCTTCGTCCGAACAGCGCAACTCCGAGCCCATGTTTGACCTGAGTCCGGATGCGTTCCAGCTGGCTAGTTGTGATGACAGTCGCGTTGGGAGGCATGGAAGCCTGCCTCCGCGTGTTGCAATTTGCACTGCTGCTCGCGGGCAGTTTCGGCCTGAAGCTTTTGGTTGTAAAAGCGCAAGTACAGTACACGGACGTTTGTGATGCTGCAGATTTTCAAATAAACACATCTTTGAGCGCTCTTACGTACGGCAGAACTGGCCTTGGCAGTGATGCAGGTGCCGGGCCCATGCTTGTCAGCGAAGCTGCGGCCTGCCCGCTACAGTACCGTACCGTACGTAATATTTGCTCACAGAGTAAGATTGACATTCATCATGATGCAAAAGATATCTGCTCACATGAGCTTCCTGCAGTCCTCAACGGTGCACAATGATAGAGCCATGTGCCTGCCGTACAAAGGACACACAGCTGCAGCCGCCGCGACTTGCGAAGTCTCAGGCTACAACACATGGTAAGTTTTTCTCAGGCGTGCAGCAGCATGGGATGTACCATGGTGCTCTGTGTAAGCAGAGTGCACTCCACACTGCTTCTCCGTATCTCCACCACTGCAAGATAGCATCTGTCTTGCCCTGGTCAACCCCCAGATGTCCACAGCGATAGCACCCAGTCGCACCTTGCAGCGCATGGCTGTTTTTGGTCGTGTCGTGGCTACGATCATCAAGGATCTTGGGCAGCACGGTTTCAGGCCGCACACAACACGCTGCTGCGGGGCTGCAACTGAGCAGCTGCAGGGACGCAGGGGCAAAAGCAGAAGGCCTGGCCTTTCAGCCTGCCCCGGGCTTGCCGGCCGATCCAGAGTCCGCACCAACTTCAGCAATCAATGTGTTGATTTAACGCTTCACAACATCAGATCGAAGCCTGAATGAAGGAGTCTGAAACGGGTGCATTGAACTAATCGTGCTGTAACGCGTTGGAACATGCGAAGGTGAATCATACATCGGCAAGATCGGCATTCAGGCAGCGCGCTTGGCCTGGAGGCAAGGATGGCGGCAGTGACGGTGCTGATGCACCAGGCGTCACGGTTCCTGTTGATAGTGATGCTGACCGTGCTTGTTTGTGGCAGAGCTGATGGCAGAGCTGATGGAGCAGGTTCTTTAGAGAGTGCGGAGCCCCTCAGCACTTACCAGCGATCCCAGCAGCACGGCCGCGCTCCGATGCAGTACGCAAGGCACATGGCGGAAAATCAACCAACGGCAGCAGCGCTGGAGTCGCCACACCTTGGGACAGCGCCCAGCTTTACAGATGCAGCAGAAGAGGCACCCCCCGAGGTGGTGGCAGAGGCAGCCAGTCAAGCTGGCCCCACAGGAGCAGCAGTCGCGCCAGCGGGTGAAGCAAAAAGCACGCCAGCTGTTGTACAGCCTGCCCGTTCGGCAGTCATGGCCGCCCGCGATGCGAGTGCAGCAACATCATTGCTGCAATCGGCCCGGGCACGCTGGCCTGATGGTTATGTGGCTCTGTGTGTTGTGGCCAAGGATCAGCACCGCGACCTGCGCTACTGGATCGCCTACCACCGGTGGCTGGGTGTTGACAAGTTTTACGTGATGGACCACAACAGCAGCCGGCCCATGCTGCCCGTGGTGATGGACCTTGTCAGGCAGGGCGTCGTGGAGTACCAATACTTTGTCGGTGGGTTGACAGGGGCCCCTGGGCGGTGGCGTGCGGACGCACGAGGGTATACAAAGTCAGCATGGGGGCGGGGTGGTGCAACGCCAGCAAAAGCAGGGAGCATGCAGCGCTGACCTCCCTCCCTGCCGGCTGCAAACCAAGGTTGTTCCCCAGGCACTGCATCCCTCCTCAATGCCGTACCTTCAGGCCGACCGCGCCGCCTGCCAGCATTCTCTGACAGCAACCAGTGGCGGGGATACCACAATTGTATCGCGCAGCATGCATCGCGTCATGCATGGCTGGGGCTGCTGGACGCTGACGAGTTTGTCGTGTTTCAACCGGGCGCGCTGGCGGCGGGATCCGGCCACAACCTGCCGCTGCTACTGGCGCGTCTGGAGAAGAAGCGTGTTGGCGCGCTGGCGCTCAACTGGGTGCTGTTTGGCAGCAGTGGCCACAAGACGCGGCCCCAAGGGGGGCCGTTGGCCTCCTACACAGCTTGCATTCCCGCATCCCACCCCGAATCGACGCACGTCAAGGTCATCGCGCACACCGCCTCGCTACTGGACATGGGCGGCACGCCTCACGAAGCGCAGCTCCGGCCTGGCGCGTCCGTAGTGGACGCCGATGGCGCCCCGTCCAGTGCGCCCAAGTCTGACGCTGCACGCTGGGCCAGTGTCGCGCTGTACCACTACGTGCTCAAGAGCCGGGCAGAGTTTGCCGACAAGATGGGCCGCGGCAGTGGTGCGGGCAACATCAAGACCTGGGAGTACTGGGATTACGTGGAGCCACTCGCCACAGGCACCTGCACGCACGCCCTCGACGTCAGCGCCGCATTCCTCGCATCCAAACCCCGCTTGCGGCCACCAGGCCGCCTGGGCCAAGTGGGTGCATGGAAAACACTGCGCACGCCTGTGCCAGTGGAAACCAAGCAAGCACAGCAAGAGGCGCCGCGGCACAGCCAGCTACGGCGGTCTTGAGAGGCTGTGTGCTTCTGTGCTTTCTACTCTTACTTTCCCCAGTGGTTTTTGTTGCTGCATGTGAGCTGCGCCTCCAGGTGGACCTAACAGTTACTCCCTGTTGTCTCGGCATGCAGACTCTTGTGCCGTAGGCTGCCACATCGAGTAAAATGACAAGCGACGACAGCAAACAGACGACTCAATGGGCCACAGCAGTAAACAGCCCCTCCAACTTTCCTCACTGCGAGCGCAGCACCTGCTCCGCGGCCTGGCGCTTCAGGTCCAGCGCGTGGTGGCGCGCGCGCAGCTCGACATACTGCTCCACAAATTGATCCAGTGGCACCTGACCCAGCAGAAATGCTGTGCTCACCGCGCTGCTGGCGGCATCGGCCTCGCTCACGGCGTCCTCCAGGCGCTCGCGAAACAAGGGGCCGCCCAGCACCTTGGAAACTGACGACTGCCGCGCCAGCAGCTCGTCAAAACGCGCGCGGATGACCTGTCACAATCGCGTGCAGGGGCCAGTGCTGAACAAGGTTCTGCACCAGCTGCTGCGTCCCCAATTGCAGGTTGCAGACGACCCCCCCCCTGCAATCAAGCAACGCGGTCCCCATGCCACCGTTTATCAGGGCCCACCTGGTACTCGCTGCTGCGAACAATGGCCAGCTGGTTGCGCGCCTCTGCCATTGCGCCCTGCTGCGACAAGTTGGCTGCAGCCAGCTGCCGGTTCTTCACGCGTATGTCCTCCAGGGTGGCAGCCATCTGAGCCGGAGTGGTGGCAGTCATGGCATGGCGCCATAAAATACAAAGATATGGGGCCAGATGAGGGTGCGCAGAGGCTGCCGGTACTTTGATGTCAAAAGCACGCAAGCGCACACTGTGTAAGAATCGCAAAAAAGCAACATCCGGCATGCAGTCGGGATGTTGCTTGGGCATTATGCTTGACAGCCGCTGCTGCCCGCCTCCACCGACCTCCGTTCGCCCACCTGTGAGTTGGCGACCACCCCCCGCAGCAGGGCCTTGAACTCTGAGTCATCAGACAGCAGCGACGCCAGCTGAGCAGGGGCCAGACGCGACAGGTCTGGCAGCTGGCCACCCGCAGCCGCAGCAGCAGAGGCTGCCGATGATGAGGACACGCGGGCTTGCGGGCTGCCGGGGCCCGCGCCTGCCGCGCCAGCCAGCAAGCCAGAGGGCGGTGAAGGGTAGCCCGGCGGGTAGGGGATTGGGCCTGTTTACGGAACACGCGCAGGTTTGGTGGACCGCAACCAGTGAGCATGGCCCCGCATAAGCCCTGCCTGCACCCTGACCAATCCTTCAGCGGTACGCTCTTCGCGACAAACTGAGATGTACGCGGAAACCCCCCACCATGCCGGCGCGAGCTCACCGATTCTGCCGCCACCAGTCGCCTGCGCCCCTGGCTGCCGCGCGTCCACTACCGCTGATGTGAGTGTGGCCACTGCCTCCGCAACTGCGTCTGCAAGGGAGCTCTGTCCGTACACCCAGTTAGCGAGACCGGGTGTGTGCAGGCGACCGGTGGAGTCCACTGCCGGGTGCACCACGGGCAGCAGCATGCTCAAGCTCGGCCGCTCCTGGGGGAAGTGCGGTGGCAGACTGATGCGCAGCGCCGTGGCTTTGCCGTCCCGCAGCTCCAGGGGCAGATCAAACACGCTGCGGTCCGGATTGATGGGCTTGGCAGGGTAGCGCCGCAGCAGTGAATCCACGTGCTGCACGCGCCTACCACACCATGAGGCGAAGAGGCGATGGGCGTCAATGGGCGCAGCGCGTGGTTGTCACAGCATAACAGGCCAAGTGTTTTCAATGATATGCAGATACCCCGGGCTTCAAAGGGTGCTCACACTTTGGGGGGGGGGGGCCGCTGCCTAGCGAGCAGCAGCTGTGCTGACGCGAGCAGCTGTTGCGCACACAGCGCAGACACAGCTGCCCGAGGCTCCGTCGCCACTGTCGGCCAACCTCAACCCCTGACATCACTCACTCTAGCTCCAAGGCGCCATAACCGGGATAGCCTCCGTACGCCATGTGGCCGACCCGCCCCGCGCTGCTGCTGCTGCTGCAGCGGCGGTGCGCTGTGTGGCGGACCTCTACAAGCGCAGGCCGGGCACTGCAGCGGGGCCTCTGATTACTAAGCGTCTACCAGAATAGAGAATCCCAACATTCGATAGCGGACCTGAACGCGGGTGTGTGTCAGATCGACGTGTTTTCAGCGGTTCCGCTTTCTTGTCACTATGTTTGCGGTCGATGTTCACGTATGCGGTAACGTATGACACTGTGGATATGCGGCCAAGCCAAGTTCATGACAACCTTTTCATGCGAGGCACTGCAAGCAGGTCAGTGGTGAATCCCTCCTCACAAGGGCGCTTACCCCTGGAATACATAGAAGCTGCGTAACTTTAGATCATGGAACCAGGGCGGGCCAGCGAACCGAGGCACACAAACACAGCGCCTGCCTGCCGCGTGGGACAGGAACACTGCACCGCCCGCGCAGAAGCTGTGCGCATGAAGCATCAACAGCAGCAGGGGCGCGACGATGAGCCGGACGACCCAGGGGCCGAGCGCCTGCCACTCTTGCAGCAGAACGGGTGCAGCACGAGCAGCAGCAGCGGCGGGCATGGACCGCGCGCTGCACCGGCAGATGTCGTGATCGACGTGCCCAGCATACACCAGAAGCGGGTTGGGGCGGAGCCATCGGCGCCACATGCAGGTCCAGAGGGTTGCGAGCCTCGCACGTGCCGAATATGTTTTGGTGAGTGGCAGTGCGGCGCTATGTGACATTGTGCTGCCCTGATTGAAGCGAAGTGAGCCGAGCAGCCCACAAACACGCAGCCCTGTGACAAGCCCTGTGGGGTGTGTGTAATTTGTTACATGTATGTCTAGTGCACCAGACATACATTGGAACTGCTCTCAGATGTCCTGCTGATCCCACACCCCAGAATGTGAGGATGTCTCGGAGGAACTCAACCCGGCCAATCCGGTGCGCAGCGCGGCGCCATATCCCGCTCTTTTCTGTGATGATGTCACATCACCCCAGGTCTTCACAACTTGCTTGGCGCTGTGCGCTGTGCAATGTGTTTGTCCGTCTCCTCCCTGCTCAGCAACCCTTGTCCATCTTGCCAACTGCTGCTTGTACTCGTAGCTCATCTCGCCCTGCCTATGCAGCGGCAGCAGCCGCTACGTGCACCGGCAGTGCCTGGGCCAGTGGCGTGCCACCAACCACCGGCAGGATGCATTTTACCAGTGCGAGGTCTGCCACTTCAGGTGGGGCAGTCTGAGGCTCCAGGAAAGCATCGCAGATCAGAGCGGTCGAGAGCAGACCGGGGGGAGCACTGTGATGGCTGTCATGCATTGAAGCGCGAGCCAGCGATACTGCATGCCACTCCACGAAGAAGCCGTGGACCACATGTTGCCTCATCACCTCGATAAAACATGTACGCACACATGCGGACATGCGCAATAGCGCATGTGCGCTCACGCGCATGCTCCTCCCACATGCGCAACACACACACACACACACACACACACACACACAAAACACACACACAAAACACACACACACACGCGCGCGCGCGCACGCACACACTAAGGAGCTTGCACTCGATCGCGTGCGCGCGCGCACAAAAACACACACACACACACACACACACACACACACACACACACACACACACACACACGTGCACAAATACACCGCACACAAAACGCACACAAAACACACATCACACACACACACACATGCACACAAAAGGTACCGCTACTCGCGGGCCTGGTGGGCGTCCATCCTCGGATCGCCCATCACTCTGGGCTCAGTATTCATCGTGGTCCTTGGGCTGGCAGTCTTTTTACTGGGCTTCCTGCCTCTCACCGGCAGGTGCGGCGCTCAAGGCTGCCTCAGATGCTTCTTCTGGGCCAGAGAAATGGGGGTCTGCCCAGGCGCATTATGGATTTGTACCCCACGCAACGCTGGTCCGCCACCGTGCGCCGCGCTCACGCTGCACCAACCACAGTGCCTCAGGCGAGGCCTTGGGGGATGTGGCGGCGCACGTGGTCAACGGCATCATTGGCCTAGGCATCATTGGCCTGGCCGTCAGCCTGGTGCTGGGGCTCTTGCGCGCATTCGGCGCTGCCACGCTGCTGTGGCTGCCGGAGCCATGGTGCCCCTCTGCACTGTGCCTCGACTGTCAGGGGGGCGGGCTGCCGATATGCATTGAGTTGGGGGCAGGCGAGTGCGGCGTCGCGATGGCAGCGTTTCTTGCTGTCGTCCTGTTGGCAGCTGGCGTCCTGGCCAGTGCAATGCTGACCTGGTCCCTCCTCCTGATGACAAGCCAAGCAGCGCTAAGCAAGGCGCAACACATGGTGGGGACCGGCATTGGGGAGGGGGGTCCAGGCCTTGGGGGATGGGTGGTAGGGCTCAAGGGGGTGAGGGGACCCATGCGACTCGCTGAAAGGAGTGGTGGGTGGGAACCAGCACGCGCCGACCTTGCAGAGTGCTGCATCAGCTCGGCACGTATCAGAGCATGCTCTCACCACGACCAGCTGCCGCATTGCCAGTGGCAGCTGGTCATAGGCGCGGGCCTGACCGTAGTCGGACCAGTCCCTGGTTGCTTTTCAGTTGTACGACTTCCTCCCCCCTACTCACTGTCTTTTGCGGCAGGTCGAGAACATTTCACCGCCCTCGCCGCAGCCTGCGCAGCAGCGATAGCAGCAGCAGCAGCAGCAGCAGCAGCAGCAGCAGCAGCAGCAGCAGCAGCAGCAGATTCAGCAGCAGCAGATTCAGCAGCAGCAGCACAACAGCAGATTCAGCAGCAGCAGCACAACAGCAGCACAGCAGCAGCTGGCCGCAGCTGCATCAGAGCCATAAAGCGTCCGTGAGTGGCGAACATGGCAAAAGGCGCAGTGTCACCATTTGTGCCACTGCCCAACTTCAAGGCAGCCGCTTGGTTGCATGGGCATGGGACCGCAACCAGATCTTGCAAAATGGTGACTCTGTTGCTTTCATGCCCTGCTGATGCTGGGTCGGTGGCTTGGCTGCCACCTGCATGAAGCTGCATCTGCGGCAGCCGCGTCTCGTGCTTGGTTGTCCATGTTACATCAGAGTTGTCTTTGTCTTTGCACAATTGTGTTCCATGCGCATCCAACTGTTCTAGTATGGCGTAGATGCAACATTTGTCCCCAACTGCTGTTTAATTGCACAAAGGCAACACTCTTCATGTAATGCCGCGAAGCTCCCAAGAGCGCCGGCTCAGCGCTCCAAAGGCGGCATGACTTCGCAAAATTGCACTCCCTTGTTTACCCTGAGCGCTTCCTCAACAAGAGCGCACCAGGTAAACGTTGTCTGTTCTTGCGCCACAGGTAGATTTGCCAGCATCTACGATCGAAAAGCCCCAAACTCAACAAAAAAAGGGTGGACGCAACCGTCGCTGAGGACGGGCAACAAAGGCCCCTGCATGCAGCACTCGGCAACGAGTGCACCCGCACATTAATGCACCTCAGCCCTTCTGGTGGCAGCGGGGTGTTGCAAGACCATGCTCAATTGTTGAGGATGAGGTTGCGTCGCACCAAGACTGCATCACACCGGAACGTCGCTTTGAGAATGCAACGACACCTTGCTCAGTATTATGTTCTAGAGTTCATGACTGCGCTGATGCGCTGGATTTGTGGGCGCAGGGACGGCAGGGGTGTTGAAGGACCTCTAACAGTTGCTTTTTGTGACGTGCAGTCAGCACGCTGCAGGACGCAGAGCTACACTGCTTCCTTGCAGCGGCAGGGGCAGGCTTGTCACCACACACGAAAAACACGCTGACGATTGCGCCACCCCCTCACAGTGATGTTCACAAAAAGCCCACACCACTCGGCGACACAAGACGAAGCACCAACCAGCATGGCAAGGCATGCGGCGACAAATCAGCTGCACAATTGGAGTTATGAGTGTGAGGAGTGCAGGGACCCGCAACATGCACGTCTACTGCAGGACCACGGCCGGGTCGACTGCAGCCGTGCTCAGCGCTGGGTGGTGGGCGCCCTGCCGCTGGCACCCTTGACAGGTGCGTTGTCGTCGACCACGTCCGGCGCGTCCCACCCCGCCATGGCCTCCTCGGCCTGCTTCTCCTTGAGGGCCTCGAGGTCGCCCGCCACTGAGTAGTCCTGGCAGGCGCGCATGGTCTTGACGTGCTCGCCCTCATCAGCCGCAATGTTCAGGAACACGTCGTGGAGGGTGTTGACGCTGGGGCGGCGCGGCTGCTCCACGGTGGCCTGGCTGGTCTGGAAGCTGTCAAACAGGTACAGGTCCGGGCCGGTGTAGTACTGATCAAGGGGGAAAGGGAGGACAGGCAGATACGTGCGTTGAGGGGGAGGGGTGGTTTGGGTGGTGGGGTGTTTTGGGGGGCGGGCGTAAGAGGGGAGGGGAGGATAGGGGTGAGGATGACGTGGGAGAGGGGAACGGCAGGGTCGTGCAAGGGCTGCAGGGCTGAATACGCCATGGCAAGATGCTGGGTGGCAGCGTTGCGAGCGACAGCAGGCGTAACCTAGGAAAGTGGGGGCATTGTATTCCTGCCACCTCGCGCCCCCCGCCTAACCTCTGCTGCGACCAGTGGCGGCGGCAGGCTCTTGAGCAGCTCCTCGTTGGCGTCAGCAAACTCACTGTAGGTGTCCACGGCGTGTGCCTCGATCAGCTCACTGGCAGGAAACAGGGCAAAACGGAATTAGTTTTGAGGCTGCGACGGTGCACGTTTGAGAAAGACATGACACAAGCCACGGAATGACATCCTGAGGTGATGCAAGGAGCTTGGAGGGTGCGCCGGCGGTCGTCATGCAGGCTCCTCGGGCGCAGGAGAGGGCCTGCACTCAGGTGCTGGGCATGCTGCGCAGCACGTCCCCCTTGCCTTACAACCCCACCCACCCACCTGAAGTTGTAGGCCAGCTGGGGCGAGACCACAAAGAGCAGCACCAGCACCCAGTAGTACAGGAAGGCCGCGTGCTGGTCCCAACCAGTGGGAGGTGCGAGACTTGAGGTCATTTCATGCATTGTGGTATCCCCAGCTGAGCTCGGCAGTCGGCGAGAAGCCTTCCAGCCAGCCACATAAACCCCCTCCCTATCCTTGGCCCGACCCACAACCCCGACCCTCTGCACATGTACTACCCTACCCGGCACCCACCACCCCACCTGTGCCATGAACCTGTCTATCCAGAGCTGGTCGCCCCCCAGGGCCTCCATGATCTGCAGGTGGTGCAGCTCGTTCCACTCCTCAGCAAAGTGCACCTTGCGCAGCTCAGCGCCGGCGCGCCACCAGCCCAGTGTCTCCAGGAGGTGCAGCATCGTGAGGTAGGAGAAGTAAGGCTGCGGGAGGGGGGGGGAAGAAGGGGGACAGGCTGCAGGCGTTGACGCGGCAAAGCAGTTGTTCCGGACGCACGGGATCATGGTCGTTGCAGTGGGTCCACGGTGAGGACAGGCAAGCACACAGGCCAGGGCACGCCGCGCCTGCCTTGACACACGGCAACCCTCGTCAACAACCTGCAGGCAAGGCTCAAACGCCCCGCCGCCCAATCGCGCCTCTGTGCGCGCCCGCCCCGCTCTCTGCCCCGTCCGCTCCTGTCGCACCATGCGAGCCACTGTCTCCAAGAACCAGAAGCGCTGTATGGGGCGCTTGTCGTAGGCCACGTCCAGGAACACACACAGTGCCAGGTAGACAGCCTTGGGAAGGAGGGGGGAGGGGAAGCGGCACGGCCGGGAAGGGGGCCGGGGTCTGAGGGCATGGGAGGCACAAAAGCGGCTTGCAGTACAGGGAGCCTCAACATGCCTGCAACGCTGCTCTGTTTGAGGACGAGAAAAGCAGTTGTCTGAGACAGGAACTCAAGGGTGCTGTGCACCTCAACACCGTCCTCCTGCCACCCCCTCCCCCCGGAGTGCCGCACCTTTACGACCCAGGGTGTCTCAATGCCGCCACCCTCCGCCTCGCGCTTGTGCTCCCGTTCCCACACCTTGGCGTTGCTAAGGGTGAGCTGCTGCAGCTTGGCCCGCACCTCGCGGCACTGCGCACTGAGGCCGCCAGAGAGCGGGTCAAACACCTCCCTGCGGAGGTGGCCGCGACGCGGGATGCGGGTGGGATGGGTCCTAGAAGCTGCAAGGGGGTAGAATTTGTGACCTGAGGAGGCCAATCAAGACGGAGACTGGTGGCCGCCACTGCACATTCTCGCTGCCCTGCCCTACACCTGCACAGCCCCGCTCTACCAGGGGGCCGTCACCCACTTGGGGATCTCCTCTGGCAGCAGCCGGCTGAACACCCTGCTGTCCTCCAGCCAGGCATCGATGGCGCTGAAGGCGCTCACCACACCAGAGCCCAGGCCATAAAAGACCTGAGGGTGGATTGAGAGAGGGGGGTGTTGGCCATCGGACTGGGCGGGGGCATACATGGGGCCAACTTAAACAACGCCGGCGACTCCCTGCCTCCAGCAGCCACGTGACTTACGGCAGGCACTCCTGGTGCCACTCAACCCCCAACTCACCCCTTGCGGCTCATCGTACCCGAACGGCCTGCCCTCCAAGTGTGCCTCACCTTGCTAACGGGCCCCTGTGCGGGGTTCTTGGCGCTGATCTTGCCGTAATCATTGTAGCGGAAGGAACGCCTCAGGGCGCGCCACTCTTGGGCCAGGTTGTTGCTGTACACGCAAAAGGGAGCAGCAACAGCAGCAGCAGCGGGCCCAGGCCGTCAGGTGAGCAGGATGCGCTTAGTGACCACATCCGAAATCTCCACGACAGCGCCGTCCGCAAACATACGCAGCACCTCTTGTCACCACAACCACGCAACGAGCTCACAGTGCCAGCCGCCACGTAGGGGCGGGGATTCGCGCCCCTATGTCGCTGTACACCCGCTGCGCTCCGCTCCTGAATCCTGCGGGTGTGGTGGACGGAGTAGGACTCAGAGCGTAACCCTGCACACAGTATGCTTGAAAATGTGCCATGGCTACCGCTGGTGAGATGCTGGACAACAGGCAAGCCCTGCTGCGACATGTCAGCCCCATTCAGGTGCTCCCTATGATATGCAGGCGGAGCAATGCTCGGCTGGTGCCGGCTCCCACCATAGTCACAGCACATGATCTCAACCTGAAGGGCACAGGCGCGTCGTGAGAAACGAGGGTGACGACAGGTGTTGAGCAAGGCAGCCAGAAGACTCGCCCCGCGGGTGTGGAATCAACCGCACTCGTAGGCTCATTTGCAAGCAAGCCACTAGGCAAGAGCCAACGTAGAGCTTGCGGGTTGTCGCCCTGCACCGCACCCCATGCCCCCCGTCCCGCAGTGCCCACCATGTTGCCGTCGCGGTCGATGAACACGGGGCAGTTGTAGTCCTCCTCCAGTGACTCCCCTGCAGTTGAAAGGCTTCGTGCTCGGGGCGCGCTTGTTGCCGGGTCAACCTCTGCAACACGGGCGCGCAGGCGGCCACCACGTACTGGCAGACGCTGCCGCAGGGCACATAGCAGCTGAGGGCGCAGGCTGCCGCCCTGACGCCGACTGCGTGAGCGTAGTTTGGTGATGCAGCACGCAGTGTCAAAGCAGCGCGAGCGGCGGCGGTGGCGCAGGATCAGTGGGCGAGGTTGCGGTGCAGGCTACGGACTGCCACGCCCGCCGACTGCAAGAATATGGCTACCAGCTGATGTCTTATGTGCGGACTGGCAGCAACCAATCAGACAAACAAGTACAGGTGTCTCGCAACTCGGTCGAGTTCACCTGCACCAGCTGCTGCGAGAGCTGGCACCGCCGATCATGGTAATTCTGTCCGGCTATCAAAGACGTGCTCTACGGTATCAAGCACACGTGTCTCGTCACTTGAGGGACACGGGTGTCAATGATCAAGAATCATGCGCGGCAGCCAGCTCGGAAGACTACGTTGCTGTGCGGTGGGAGTGTATGTTTCTGAAACGATGGTGTCAACGCTTAGGGTGGCAGAGACAAGTGCAGCGTTTCTGTGTACTGTCGGCAGGAAGGTACCGGCACCAACGCATCAGCTCGTCAGCAGAGCACCCAGGAGTTCACTGCACCCAGGCGCTGGTGAGTTGCTGCAGTGGGGTTCCTGGTGCCCGCGCCCACATCATCAGGATCCCTGTCCCTGTGTTTGCCATTGTCATCATTCAGATGAGGTCGCAACAGCACACAGGCTGTGCTCGAGAGCAACTTACAAAAGACGCCAACAAGAGACGGTGCTCAACCTGAAATAGATATCACCCACCACTACCCGCCAGCAGTCGCTCCGCCTCTGCACGAGCAGCAGCAACCGCCTGCGCGGCCAGGCCCTCAGCGCTACCGCTTGCGGCAGCCTCCATTACGGCCGCGAGCGGCATGGCGCCCGCCTTGACGCGCTCATAGACGGCATGAGTCACCGATCGCACCGCGTCCCTGTCCACTGCCACAGCCAGTGCAGCCGCGCCACCTGCCACCGCTCGCGCTTGCTGTGCAAGGCGCAGCTGGCGTTTGGCCACCACAACTGCCGCCTCCTTGGCCGCCCTGAGCTCATCTAGGTTCAATCGCCGCAGCGGGGGCGGGGCGCCGCCTCCGCTGATAACAGCATGGGGCTGCACGCCCCTCGTCTGCTGGTGCACGTTGATGGGAGACACTGTGGAACGGCGTTGCTGCTGCTGCTGCTGCTGCTGCTGCTGCTGCTGCTGCTGCTGCTGCTGCTGCCAGTGTTCGCTCAAGTGAAGCAGTGGTGGGGGGTTGGGTGGTGGTCGCCGCTGCTGCTGCTGCGGCTGCTGCTGCTGCTGCTGCTGCTGCTGCTGCTGCTGCTGCCGCGGAGGTGGGGCCTGCCATGGCAGCCACGAGGCCATTGACGAGGGCGGCAGCTGGGAAGGGACGGGCACTGCCACAGAGGGTGGAAGTGCCGCGGTTGCTGCTGCGCACGGCAGCTGGGCACGTTGTACACTACCTAAAACACACCGCCGCTGGCCATCAGACACGCTTGCGGATGCGACGCGCTGAGGCGAGTCGTGTCCTTCGGCCCCAGAGCCAGGCATACGCGCTGCGTTGCGGTGGAGCGCCCCGGGTGCGGGTGGGCCTGGGACGCTCCTGGCCGCCACCACAGCTGCCCCCGTCCCTGCTGCTGGCAGGGGCTGGTCTGATGCGGGCAGCCACGAGGCGCCCTGCCGCCAGGGCGGCACGCCCGGCTCCATTTTACCGTTGCCCTGCTGCTTTGGCTGCTGCGGCCTGCTGGCGGCCGTGGTGCTGCTGGCCGTGGGTCGCCCTGGCCGCTGCCGCCTTGGCACCTCTGAGATGGCAGAGGGTGGCATCGTCTCAGAAATGGGCAGAGACGGGGCGGCACCTGCCCTCGCGCAGCTGCTGCCGATGCCGCTGTCGGTGTTGCCGTGAGTGCTGCCAGCCCCTGCGTTGCTGCTGCCGACATTCTGCACCGGGCAGCTTGCAGTCCCACCACTGCGCAGGGCTGCGAGCGCCCCCGCAAAGTCGAGCGGCGCCGTGCGCCGGTGGCGCGCCGAGGGGGGCTTGAGCGCACGCCTCATTTCGCGCTGCTGCGCCGCCCGCTCCATGGCCTCAGCCAGGGAATCCCTGATGGCATCACCCGCCGCCGGGTGCTCCAAGGTGTCGACCACGCTGTTGCGCCCCAGCCGACGGGGTCCCTCTGCATTCTGGTGGGCCCGCCGCTCGTCGCTTCGTCGCCGCAGGCGCTGCAGGGGCTGCGGAGGCAGGGACCGCGGCTGGCTGTCGCGGCGCTCAAGGCGAGTGCGCTCCTCCTGCTCCTCCTGCTCCTGTAGGCGCTCCCACAAACGGCGGTGGGCGGCATCAGGAGCAGAAGCCTGTGTGGCGAGCATGTTTGGGCCGATGTGGATCGCTTAGAGGACGTTTTGAGCGGCATCTTAAGCAACAGATGTCGGCGCGTGCAGGCCCTGTGATGCACTGAAGCAGCGTCACAGTCAAACACCACGATCAGCAGCTTGGAGCCCCCGGCCCCGCGCGACCCCGTCACCTGCTGTTGTGCTGCCAGCACCCTTAGCCCTGGGCCAGTGCGGTCCGCGCCCCTCAGGCGTACCCCGCCTCGACTCTCCGCATGCCGTGCCAGCAGCCGTGACAGCTGAGCTTCCGCCAGGCGAAGCCGCTCGTCAGCCGGCCGCAGCCTGGCCTCAGATCGAGTCTCTGGCAGCAGCGCCGTCTGCGCGACTAGCACCCGCACAAACTCGCGGGCAGAGCGTGGCTGGGGTGCGTCACCATCGCCGACATCCCCCATTCTGAGTGACGGCCTGCCAGCAGGCCAGGGGCGGAAGACCTCGGCCACCGCGCGGCGCGTTGACGCAACCGTGTGTGCACGCACTTCTCCTGCTGCCAACCCCTCTGCCCCAACCCCTGTACGGCCAGCCGCCGGCTGCGCGAGGCGCGTGCTGCTGCTGGGCGCCGCCCTGCGCCGCCGCGGGCGGGCTGATGAACCCCGCCGCGTGCTGTGTGCCGCCCGGCGCGCTCGTGTTCGACGCGCTGTGGCTGCCGCCGCCCGCTGCCGCCTGCGCGTGCCGGTGGCCGGCTCGGCATACTCCTCCTCACCACTGCCGCCTGCTGCCTCCTCATCCTCGGCATCGTCGGAGGAGGTGATGTCGACCTCGCTGCCGCTGGCGCTGCTGGACCCACTCTCGGCCTCCCGGTCCTCCTCATCGTCGTCGCTGCGCACGTCTTCGCCCTCGTCCTCTTGAGTGCCGACATAGTCACCGTCGTCGTTAGAAGCAGCGCGCCGCGATCGCACAGCCCGCCGCCGCCCAGCAGGGCGCGCAGCACGGCCCTCCTCGCCGCTGCTCACGACCACCACGTCAAAATCTTCCGACGCCGACTCGGAGGGAATCACCCGGCGCCTGCGCACGCGCCGCTGGTGCGGCTGCTGCCCCCCCTGCCGCCTGCTGGCGACAGCGCGGACGTCGCGACCGCGGGCGCGAGCGCGGGCGCGGGTGCACTCTGTGCAGAACCACTCGCCGGTGGGTATCTCGTGGAGCCCGAGGCAAAAGGTGTGGTAGCCGCGATCACACCCTGGTGTGCATGGGGTGGTTGGGGGTGCATCATGGGAATGTGCCAGGCGCGAACCTTTCTGCGTACTCATCAAGTTAACCAACACTACTCCGCCCACCTGCATATTATGGGCGGGCGTTTACGTGTGCACCCTTGCCGCTGCCCCTCAGCAATGGCCCCGCACCCGGGACTGCACTGCACTGCAGCAACCCCGTGACGCCCGGCAGCGGGCGCGCACCATCGCAGAGCAGCAGCTGCTCGTCGTTGTCGTCAGCACCGCACAGCTGGCAGTGTACCGTGGCCAGAAAGGCCAGCAGGGACGCGTCCTGGGGATACGACTGTAGGGGCCGTCGGTTGTAGCGGCAAGGTTGGTTTGGCAGCATCTTCGCAGCATTGCGTGGCGAATGCTGGCACGCTGAGGCGTATGCCAGCTCCGAAACCTCATGTATGACAAGACAATGTGCCGACCGCCACGGAAATGCCTCAGATGCCGCCGTACCAGCCCAACCACCTGGTTGCGCTCCTCCACGTGGACCACAGACAGCACCTCCCCGGGCAGCTTGCCCTGGGATGGGCACTCGCCATGCAGCCGCAGCTGCTTGCGCGTGATGACGCGGAAGCGCACGCGGCAGGCGGGGCAGTGCGTGTCCGTTTCCGCCCACCGCGTGATGCAGGGTGGGCAGAACCTGCATGCGTGCGGCGCAGGCCGGGTCGTCAAGGGGGCCCAGCTGCTGTTGACTGCGGCGCGTGCCCACGACTCCAGCAGCTCAGCTCACCACCCAGGGCCCATCTTGCATGCGCCTGACTTGGGATCACGCCAGGGCCTGCGCTGACCCCTGCGCGGCCCCACCTGTGGTCGCATGAGTCTAGTTCCCCGACCTCAACCAGGCCCTCATCCAGGCAGATGGTGCACTGCAGCGCCGCCACGTTGGTGTGGCTAGGCTGGCCCGCTGCCATGACCAGGGACCGTCCAACACGTCGTCGCTGGTGTGATGCACAGACCACGCGCCTGCTAGCTCAAGTCTACTAATCGCTCCCCGCCCATTTCCGTGCAGACGGCCTCGACCAGGGCCTCGACCGGGCCTCGATGGGAGAGCTCGCGCCGCAGCTGCCAATCGACGCCGTCGATGTGGCGGCGAGGCACCCACCAGCGGCGCTTCCGGCAATTTTTTTAAAGCAGGTTGGATATCAGACTGCGGCACGGTGTCCTGTACAGCACATTACTAGGAAGTGGTGGCACGCGCAAGCTGCGGGTGCTGCAAGTAGCCTTAGCGACGCGAGGCTCGTGAATACACGTAACTCTTCAGTTCATGATATTCACTCTGTTGTTGGTATCATTACAGCAGAAGATCATCACAATCCTCAACTTGGCGTCCACGGTGAGTCGAGGATTGCATGACCACGAGGTCGATCCATCTTACGGTATCACAAGTGTCAAGAGGTGAACTAGTCACAACCTTGCCTGTCCTCCACTCCATACCTTGGGCTTCGTTGGCGACGCCTCAAAAGCGCCTGCCAGCTCGTCTCATCCGAAATCCTCCCTCGCCTTGGCGCACGCGTGCATTGTCGATTTGGCATGACAACCTCATCATCTCTCTCAAACCAGCAGTGAATTGCAATATGGGCCAATGCGTGAGCGTGGTGCTGGATTCAGAGGGCATGCGGCAGCGCATACAGCAGCTGGAGCAGCAGCTCGAGGCAGGCGGCGGTGGCGGCGGCGGTGCTGCGACGGTGGCGGCGGGTGGCGTGCCTGCTGGGGCAGTCGCAGCTGTGGGGCACGAAGTCCTTTTTTTCCCCGACTCTGCGATGTGAGTGTGCTGCGGAGGTAGTGTTGCAGTTGGCTTCTTCCGCTCTCTTGAGGCTGCATGGCACACCACCTTGTGCTGACACCCGGCGGGCCACGTCCATACACCCTGAATCTGCCTGGCCTTGATGCCTCTTTCATCTCATCATAGCCGATGCACTCCCTTCCTCCACGCTCCTTCCCATCCAACAGGCCCTGCCGCAACGGGCAGTCGTGCCGCCGCCAGCAGTGCGGCTACGCCCACAACGCCACCAGCCTGGTGCGCCTGCTGCAGTGGATAGGCAGCGCGAAGCGCAGCCTGGACGTGTGCGTCTTCAGGTGAGGCGTACTGGAAGCGAAACAGCCTTTGCACCATGCAAGCCTTCCGGGTCTAGAAAGCACCCCGCCTGCAGCCACCGGACCCCCCGCGCAACCCCCATGTCGCCTTTCGCTCCAGCATCACCTGTGACGAGTTATCGGACGCCCTGCTGGCAGCTCACAGTGAGCTGGCCGTACCTGCATGTAGTCCCATGGCGTTCCAGGCAGTGCTGAGACTGCAGCATGCTGGGTGGTGCTGCGTGCCAGGTCCAATCGACCTGCAGGCGTCGGCTGCCCTTGCACAAGAGTTACTCCCACTTGACCACCCGAACCCCTCACAAATTTCCCAGAGACAGCTCTCCCCACACACACCTCACATACCTCACTCTCTGCATCCCCTCCGCACTCCTCCAGGACGAGGTGTGCGTGTGCGCATTATCAGCGACAATGACCAGATGGCCACCAGGGGCTCTGACATCGAGCGCCTGTATGCTGCAGGGGTTCCAGTGCGCACTGACAAGGTTGCGGCCCACATGCACCACAAGTTTGCGGTGAGCGCAGGGTGGTTTGGGGAGGTGGGATTACTTTTGATGGCTCGAAGTGGTTGGGCTCACGCAGTGCTACCACGCAGCCCTCGACGCGGCCTGCTTCCACCGGCCCTTCCGCGCAACCCAAATGTCCATGTACACATTGCTCACTCCTCGCATGACTCTCAAATCCTTGCCCAAATGTATGCTCAGATCTTGGAGCCACCCCACTCCCCCCCACCCACACCCGCCAGGTCCTGGACAACCGTTTCCTGCTGAATGGCAGCTTCAACTGGACGCGTGCGGGCGTGCTGGAGAACGAGGTGCGTCGCTTGCGGCAAGTGTTGAGAGGGCGGCTGGTGCGCATTTGTAAAAGACTTGGGGCCCACACGCTAATCTCGCTGATGCATGTCCTCGACTGCACATTTTTCTGGTCAGCGACCGCGACCAGCAGACATGTGCCGATTAATAGGCCCCAAATGCACTCACACAAAACACTCTCTGCAGGAGAATGTTTTGATCCTGGACGCCCCTGAGGTGGCAGTGAAATACAGCCAGCAGTTTGAGCGCCTGTGGCAGAGGTACGCCTGAGGCGACGCAAATGACCTCTATGGACCAGAAGTGTGCGGAGATTTGCAGCCGGCACGTGTCAGAGTGCAGGCTCAGCAGACTGCGTGACTTCACGACCTGTTTTTGTATGTTTTTAAGTTGCGTTGCGTCATAAGTCATGAACACACCCTCGAGTGCCTGCCTGCACCCAGGCAGCACCCTATGGCACCATAATCATCCCCCACTGACTTCTACAATCACTTGAATGTACAGCCCAGGGATGAATCAGCGCCACCATGTCTGTCAATGTGTACGCATGTTAAACATTGGGACGCTGCGCACAAAACAAACAAGAAGTGTAACAAATAAAGCATGTTCATTTTTTGGCTGCCTGCAGCGGCAGCTTCCTTGGGTTGTTTGAGGTGCAAAGGAGCCGCACTGCTGCGGGCTACCTGCGGGAGAAAATGTCGACCTGTAAAACGCTGCTCACGGCATGTCGCTGTGCTCTGATGCAGCAAGCATGCGCCCTGCATAATCCTCACAGGACAAAGGGGAAAACGCCCGTCCTGCCACCAAGCATCGGGTTAACGCTCGCTGTCTAGTTGGTCGAGTACCACAGCGTTGTCGCTGGAACAGCACCCGCTAGCAGCTAGAACTGCAGCCTTGGTGTCAGTCACGGGCAATAATGGCCTCCGGATGCCGCCGTCGCTACTTGGGGCCTTGCCGGCTGCCGACTGGGCGTTGGGCCCCATTGTCGGCCCTGCCGGTGAGACGGAGCCGCTGGCGCCCAGCTGCAGCAGTGAGTACCTGCGATGGTTGCCGGGGCCCATGAAGTGAGAGGGTGCGGGCCAAGGTGCATCCTGAAACACCTGATCTCTGTGTGCTTGCTGCAATACCAAGACATGGCCTTTCTCGCCCCCCGCCGCCTTCCGCGTTCTACCCCCTCACCAAATAATGCCAACCATGGCAATCCCGATGCCCGCCAACTTCTTTGGAGGCATCGTATCACCAAACATGAGGCAGCCGCCAGTCAGGATGAGCACCGTCTTGACATGGCCCTGTGTGGCAGCAGGGTCTTGGGGTCTCACGGGCTGCAGCCGGGTCGCGGACGGTGTTTCAGCAACAGGCTGCACAACAAGGCACAGCAAATAACAGCAGCTGCACCCTGCCACAAGTCGCACCACAACATTGTAGGTGAGGCTACTGGTAGCGCCGATGACCAGGAACGTCGACAGAGACACCAGCAGCCCCAGCACGGCGCTCAGCAAAATTGCAGCTACCGCCGCAGGGGTATAGTGGTAGCCCAGCAGTGTGCCGTCGCCAAACGAGCCCGCTGCTGCAGCCGCAGTCGTGTGGGCGCGGGCCAGGCCAACCGGCTCCATGAGCGGGATGAGCATGCCCAGCAGCAAGGTGGCCTGTGGGGTGTACTGGTGGAGCAGCTGCATGCTACTAGCCTTGAGTTCGCGCTGCTTGGTGCCCGCCCAGATCTGGAGGGGGTTGAGAGGCACAAGATCAGGGTACAGTTGGCAAGGTGCCACGCTGCAACAGACACGCCACTCCTCATGATCTAGGCAGCGACCGCTCACCTGTGTTTTGCTGCGCTTTGTCCCCACTTGCTTGCCCCAACACGCGACTCAAGTGTTTTCTCTGCCCCCACCAGCCCTCATACCTGGTACATTGCAGTGACCAGGGTGGCGCTGGCGCCGATCGCCAGGCCCTTCAGGTTGCTAGCCATCTCCGTGTCAGTGATGGTGGCCGCCGCTACGCCCAAGCACACCAGCATGACCGCCAGCACCACTCTGGGGGTTGGCAGCTTTCCGTACACAGCCAGCTCCAGGGCCATGACCGTGGGCGCTACGGCAATCTTCATCACCTGTGGCAAGTCGTAGTTTGAAAGCGTGGGTGACCACGCGCGATGTTCACGAAGCGGCGGCTCAGCGGCGGCCACGCAAGTGTAAAGGGCCGACAGTTCCCCAAAGCGCCACCCTCCATGACGTGGCGGCACCGCCCCCAATTTGCCGCTTCCCACGAGTTTGCGCGCCCATTGCTTTGCAGGCTGTCGCTGCACACCGCACCTGGTAAAAGCTGACAGGGTTCACGTTGAGGCTGAGGTTTCCCAAAACTATGTAGGCCACAAATGCCGCTGCTATGGGAGCCACCTTCATTGTCGGTAGTTGCTTTCGTTTGAACATGCCCATTGCCAAGAAGAGCTGCATGCCTAGCAGCGTCAACGCTGTGTGCACCCATGTCAGTGCACAGGTGAACTTGAACTGGTAGGTCTGCATGAAGGATCCACGCGACAAGTGAGACGCGGAGGAACTGAGACATTCGTCCCCAGAATTGTGATGCATACACGCGCATGATCCAATTCCAGCCTTTGCTGCCGCAACGCCAGCATGCGAGGGTACATACACCACTCCCGATTTCAACAGTCAACCCAACATCCAAGACCAAGGAGCGCCATGCGCACCTGAAAGACCGCCTTGTTGGCAAGCACAATACCCTGCGTGTGCATGCGAAGGGATGCGAGCTTTCATAAGAAGCAAGCCGGGCAGCTGGGCGTGACAGCGGTCGTAGTCGGCCGTTGAACAAGCAGCGCCGCGCCAGAGCGGCAGCAGCGGCGACACTGCACCATATCGCTACTGCAGCGTATCGATAGTCCGTAATCCTCTTACCGATGCAGATGCGATGTTCAGCAGCGCATACAGCACCGGCTTCGCACAGCTTGTGTTGTCCGCGGCGATCATCGCCACGGGAAGTCCAGGCCTATGACAGGCCGGTATTCTGGAAATTTATTGTGTTCTTATCTGCTCCGACCCACCTTCTTGGTGTGACATATCCAAATCAACGCACTTTCTGACGACTGCCTGCCCGACCACATAACAAGGCGTATCAAGGTGCGTATAGCTCGGAGTACAAGGATACGTTCCATCCAATTATATGTGATAGTATGAAGGCTGTCGAGCAGCCCGCGGGACAAGTACGGTATGCTAACAGTGTAGCCGCCCGCGTGGCGCGCGTTTGAACACACATGAACGATATTTTTGTGGTCAAGCCTTGCTGCTCGTGTTTTATCCTTGTGGGCTAATTGCTCGCAAGGGGGAGAACCGACGCTGTGCCCTTGCCCCGCACGTTGCGGCGCCGGCCACGCAGCACACTTGAACTTATGTGTTGTTCCCTGCCGAGCCCTTGCGACAATTACTGGCAGGCCCGCCCCTCGATCTTTGTTGCCATGTGTTGCACAGCACCAACGACTGCCAAGGCATACACAACATATGACTTGGCCTCATGGGGCTTATAGAGAGACACCAACCTCACGCTGTGCTGTGTACTCTCCTTTGATAATTACACATGCAAACAGTGATCTGACGACGTCACACAAGCGACCCATTACCTCGAGCAGCGCGACTTGACCACATTCATAACAACAGCATGACGACAAAAAAAATCATATCGGTATTTGGCAGGGCTCAGGTCGGCGCTGCTTGAGGTAGAAACCTTGCCAGTCGCTGTGGCGCTTCACAGGTCAACATGTGACGCTCTCATGGCCGTAATACTACATTCAATTTGATATCACTGCAATGCTGGACGATTGCGGTGGCGCACCAACTTGCCAATTTTAAACCCTGGCCCTGGGTTGCAAACCACCAACCCCCAACTTGGATTTTCACACGCCGACAAACCCTCAGCCATGTGATGCCAGCATATTGCAAAGCTGTTGATGTGTGCTGCGGCAAAACAAACGTGCAGATGTGTGCTGAGAACACACGGTACATGGAGACGAGGCCGGTTCGTCGGCGCCGTTGGTGTGGGTGTGTCAGTGCCTGCGGCCCAGCGATCTGGCATGTGCTCTCACACAGCGAGCCAAATCACCAGAACATGTACAGGAAGTTGCTCAAGGACCATCCAAGCTTCGTCTCGCCGCTTCTGGAACCCGATATCGCAGCATTTGCCCCCCACAGTGGAGGTCTCCGTGATCGTCCGACTTGCACAGACCGTGCAAAGCGTCAGATAATCGTGCTAATCTCATGTTTATACGTTAGAAAGTCAGCTACACAGGGAAGCGTCGGTTCCCGCGATGCATCAGCGTGGTAGACAGTGTGTGTTTGGCTCGCGTGCACGAACGGCCACCAGGCTGCAGCCTAGTGGCGCATTCTATGGCCCGCATGATATTCGAGCCACGGCAGCACGGCCAAAAGTGGGGCGCGCAGTGGCGGGCTTTGGCGCAGCCAGCAGCAGCACTCGGCAGGGCGGCGCGCGGGTGCCCCAGACGTCGCCCAGTTGCAGCCCGTTCAGGTGGCGCAGCGGCAAGGCTCTGCGGACTGTGCAGCCGGTATCATCTGCGGTTGCAGTCAGTGGTCTCACCACCCTCGGGTGAGTGCCACGCATGTCGCTGTCACCTCCACACACTACCCTGCAGAGCACATGCATCCGCGAGGGGCGCGCTCATTGGGCCCCATCAGGCCAGGCTAGCTGCAGATGCACTCAACTGCTCATCTTGCCTGTGTCCCATGCAGATCTGATGTGCTGACATTCCTAGCCAGCACGGTGGCAGTGGTGCCGATCTGCAGGTTCCTCAAGGTGCGGCACACGACGGGTCGGTCGGAAGTCAGGCGGGCACCGGCTGTCTTACTCGTGTTGAGATCCGTACGCGCGGCCAAGGCGATCGCACACTGGCCGCTGCTACCTGTCCACACATGGGTTGCCCTGCACTCCACATCATCTCACCTGTAGTGCACTAATTCAACCTCACCCACCTGCTCTGACATCCCCCTCACCAGGTTTCCCCAGTGATGGGCTTCCTGGGCATCGGCCTCATCCTGCAGCAACTTGGGTGAGGATTTCAGGGTGGCTCGTAAACGGGAGGCCTCCCTGTCACCAATCTTTGAGGTTGTGAGGGTGACTTTGAGGTTGTGGATGCTCCCTGTCACCAATCTTCACGGCAGGCCTGCCCCAGTGTCAGGCCCACCTCACTCTGCCATGGCCACCATCTGCCCACCCCCACCCCCCTTCTCCAGACTCCTCAACAACCGCGAGGATGTGGAAAAGCTGAGTGAGCTTGGGGTCCTGTTCCTGCTGTTTGAAATGGGGCTGGAGCTGTCACTGGACCGCCTCAAGTCGCTGGCAAAGTACGCGTTCGGCATGGGCAGCCTGCAGGTGGGTCACAGTGTGCCAAGTATGTGTGTGGCATGTCGCCACACGCGACCGGTCAACAACAAGTTGTTGTGTGATTGGCACGAACGTATGGTGCCAATTTGCTTCACCTGGGGAACATCCACAATTTGCAGGCTTCTAGAGGCTGCCCAGGGCTCACAGCCAGCGTCTGTGTAGGCTGCTCATAGGCTGCTTGGCGGCCTGTCACACACACCCCGCCACGGCCCACCCTCGCCTGGGTGGCCTCCGGTCCCAGCTCCTTGCAACAACGGCATAGCCTGCCTCCGCGGCCACAATACTCCGCCATGCGTGCACCCTGTCCACAGGTCCTGATCACCAGCCTGATCTTCATGTCCTTTGAGCTGCCAGCGGGCGGCTCCAGCCTGGGCACCAAGCTCCTGGAGCTGACCTGCGGCGCGCCGGCGTCGCTGGTGTCAGTGCGCACCCTGGACGAGGCGGTGGTCATCGCAGCGGCGCTGTCCATGAGCAGCAGCGCGTTTGTGCTGCAGCTGCTGTCCGAGCGCGGGGAGACGCCGACGCGCTTCGGGTCTGCCACGCTGGGCATTCTGCTGTTCCAGGTGCGTGTGGAGGGATCGCAGAGTGCCTCAGGGGTATTTAACATGCTTTTGTTGGCCGGGTTTCTTGCCTAGCTTGCTCCACAAAGGGGTCCACCATGCTGTGGGTGAGGCCATGCTAGTTCCAGCACAAGTGAACGCCGCGCCCCCCCTCCCCCCGCAACGCCCCTGACCGCCAGGACATTGCCATCGTGCCCTTCCTGGTGCTGCTGCCCCTCATTGAGAGCAGTGGCGGCATGGAGAACGCCACATCAGACACCCTGCTGGGAATGCTTGGCCCGACAGCCTTCAACAGCGCAGCAGGGCTGGCTATGCTGCTGTTGGCGGGGCGCGTGGTGCTGCGCCGCATGTTCGAGGTGCGTTGGTGGGCCCAGGATTGGGAGGGTGTTGCGGGCGAGCCCAGGTTCACTACACCCTGGATGCGGCCGTGGAGAGAGGGCTGGGCGCTCGACCACAACAGTGCGCACTTGCTAGCGTCCCTCATCATAGCTGCGCAGCTGTCCTCCAGTCCCCCGCCCTGCTCCCGCGTACGCCCTGCCGCAGCTGGTGGCCGAGTCGCGCAGCAGCGAGACATTCGTCGCACTGTGCCTGCTGACTGTGGTGGGGGCCTCCCTGATCACCTCCCAACTGGGCATGAGCGACACCCTGGGCGCCTTCATTGCGGGGGTGCTGCTAAGTGAGACCAGCTTCAGGACGCAGGTGAGGGAAGCAAGATGGGTGCCGCTTGCTGTCTCACACCACGCAAGGGCGGTTTGCAGAATGAGGCATTATTGGAGGTTGTCGTTGACTGTGGCCTCACTACAGGCATTACCGCGATGTGCTTGCACCCTCGGCCTGCACGACCCTTTCCCACTCTCCCTCCCCCCTTTCCCCCGGCCTGCCCCCCTCAAGGTCGAGGCGGACATCCGGCCCTTCAGGGGCCTGCTGCTGGGCCTCTTCTTCGTGTGCGTGGGCTCCTCCATCGACATGGACGTCCTGGCCCGCAACTGGGACGTGTGCCTCTGCATGCTGACAGGCCTGGTCACCATCAAGGCGGGAGTCAACATCGCCCTGGGGCCGCTCTTTGGACTGAGCAGGTGCGCACACACACGGCACACGCAGCGGCGCGTGCTTGTGCACCAGCTGAAAGGGGGGGTGTCGGGGTTGAGGGTGTACTTCCAAGTTTTGAACAGACCCCTCTGTGTGTTTGCAATGACAGCGGGCCCAGCATGCTTTGGCCTCCACCACTGCCCATGAACACAATGCCGCCAACATCACCGCCGCTGCCACGCGCAGGGGGGAGAGCATCCGCACGGGCTTCATGCTGGCTCAGGGCGGCGAGTTTGCGTTTGTGCTGCTGTCCCTGGCCAGCGGGCTGGAGGTGCTGCCGGCCAGCCTCAACCAGATCCTCATCATCGTGGTGGTCATGTCCATGGCGCTCACGCCCGCACTGGCGGAGGTCGGCAAGTGGATCGCCAAGGAGACCGACGCGCGCTGGCCGGAGGGCGGCGGCCTCGGCGGCGCCGCAGCAGCTGCGCTGCCGGCCAGCACCTCAGCCTCCCCTGCGGACGGCGAGCTGGTGGGTCACCTGGTGGCTGGGGTGTAGGGCGACACGCGTCTTGCAAACAGAGCCGCTGCCTATGGCGCCACAACGCGCGCTCCTCATGTGAGCCCCAGGTGGCTGAGGCAGCGCCACCTGCTGCACGCACAACCCTGCGCCGACCTCCCACACTGCCCTCCTGATCTCTGCCCCCCCCCCCCTTCCCTTGCATGCGCCAGGCCGTGGACGACCCCGTTGTGATCCTGGGCTTTGGCCCCCAGGGCCAGATGCTGGCCAACATGATCCAGTCCCCCCTGGCCGCACCCTCTGGCGCCAACAAGCTGGCCTACATCGCCTTCGACCTCAACCCGGCGCGCGTCCAGGCTTCGCGCAAGGCGGGTTTCGCAGTGGTCTACGGGGACGGCAGCCGCACCAGCGTGCTGCACGCGGCGGGCGTGCACCGGCCCAAGGCGGTGGCGGTGTGCTACAGCGAGGTGCACCGCAACAAGGCGGCTGTGGAGCTGGTGGGGGCCGCCTTCCCCGGGGTGCGCATCTATGCGTGCGCCAAGAACTTCAGGGAGGCGGCGGCGCTCAAGGGCGCGGGCGCGCACCGCGTGATCATCACGAGCAGCGAGGCCGGCCTCAACCTGGGCACGCGGCTGCTGGCTGACGTGGTGGGCTCGGAAATCGGGGATGCCGACACCCTCAGGTGCGTGCAGCAGGGCGCAGCTCGTGTTGAGCTGGGGGGGGGGCGTGTGAGGGAGAACCTTGGGGCACGAGGGGGGCACCTGTGGGCGGGTGTTGCAATGTTTGGAAGCTGGGAATACAGAGTGCTGAGAGCCATGTGGCTGTACGGTGAGCCGCCTTGATTGCCTCACAATGGGGCTGCAGGTCGTCATGGGTGCCATCACTCCCCCCTCTCAACCGCCACGCACAGGCGTGGCATCCAAAAGTCCCTGGAGATCCGCACCGAGGCGCTGCGGGAGCGCTTGCGCACCGCCAAGGCCGCGGACGCCACTGCCAGGCCCGCCCTGCCGGCCTTGGATGCGCTGGCCAGCGGCGGGGGGGCCGGGGACCCCATGCCGACTAAGGAGCAGATCGAGCTGTTCGTGCTGGACCCCGCGGTGGCCCGCAGCATCGCCGCGGCTGAGGAGAGCGGCGGCGCTGGTAGTGGCAGCACGCGCTCCGAGGGGCCCCAGAGCTCCGCGGGGCCGGGGTTGACAGGGAGGAGCGCTGTAGACGGCGACGCCGGGCTCGCGGACAACGCGAGCGTGGAGGAGCGCGAGACGGCCCTGCGCGAGAGCTTCCAGGAGTTTTTGCTGGACATTGGCAGTGACATGGGCGTGGAGGCGGAGGCGGCTGCCGCCGCGGCGGCGGAGATCGTTGCGGCCTACGGCGCCAATGGCAATGGCACGCGCATGCCCAGGGACACTGCTGCTGACCTGGTGTCAGTCTCTGTTGCGGATGCCAGCCCCAACGGCCTGGTGGCAAATGGCAGTTTCGGCAGCAACGGCAGCAACGGCAGCGGCGGCGGCAGCAGCAGCAGCAGCAGCAGCAGTAGTACCAGCATCAGCAGGGATGAGCGACTTGACGGCGACGTCGTCACAGTTGCGGCGGCCCCCGTGGGCGCCAGGGCAGCCGTCCGAGGTGGCGATGACGGCAGCAGCAGCAATGGCAGCGGCAGCGGGGTTGCCGGCAGCCAGTGAGCTCGGTCAGTCACTCCACACTTGCGAGCTATTTTATCAGGCAGGGAGCCCAGCTGCTTACTGAGCTGGAGCCATGGCTGATGTTTGTGTTGGGTTTGCGGTGCATATGCGCCCGGCCCAGGTGTGCTGCCCCTCTTGTGGGCGTCTGTTGTACCCTCAGCCCAAAGTCGTGCGTCTCGCGTACACTGCATGTGCGCACTGTATCGCCAGCGCCCTTGGCCACACGGCGTCTCCCTTGCGCCCCTCTGGGCCTGCCCAAGGAGCTGCCCTCCTTGATGATGACGTCTGGGGTGCACAGGGGATACTGGGGAAGCTTAGGGGATCTCTGTGTTGTGGCGTGAAAAACCCTGTGTAGTCGGCGGCGGGTGCACACCACCGCTCATGGACCGGGGTCGCCTTTTAAACCTTGCTGCTCCTCACTTGCGAATGCTGCACCTAGGCGCGGCGCGCCGGGAAGTGCCCGCTCTCGCTTTGTACAAACTCAAATCGTCCCTCGGCACGTGCCCTGCCAGCACATGCTGCTCACGCGGTGTGATCTCGTTTCTTGCGTTGTTTTATGAGGTGGGGCGCTGCAGGTGCAATGGCACAACAGCTGGAAATCCCTCTCCGGCTGAATTTGAGCGATGTGTCTGACATGGACGGGTGTACGCAGCTCATCCACAGCATTTACTGCTGACGCTGCGGCTAGGCACAATGCCGACGGCCACGCCCCGTCGCCAACCTGTGTGTCTTTCATGTAACCAGCCCTCGCTGGAGCCATGAACATTGACAGCTGGCCGTACTACCCAGGCAGCCAGCTAAGTAGCAGTGTAGCCAGAAAAGGAAAGGGACCATGCTGTGATGTGTGGCTGTGTGAGCCAATTACACCCTGTGCTAGCTGAAGATGCCCTGTGCATCAGCAAGCGCGGCCCGTGCCGCCTCCAGCTCCTCGCTGCCCGCTGCGTCTTGATCATTCTCGGACTGGGACCAAAAGAAATGTGGTGCAGGAGTCGAAAGAGCGGGCAGGGTGAGGATCCCAGGCAGAGACGAGCAGCCGGTGCGTCACTCCGGGGCCAATTGTGCAGGAAGGGTACGAGCACGACCCATACGGTCGCACCCTCTTTCCGAGTATTGGCGCCCTTGGTCACGGACTGCAGCGACTCTTTGTTCCTCATGCCCAGGCTCCCAGCCGCCCCGGGGGCACCCCTCACCACGAAGCCCTCCAGGTCCGACAGCGCCGCCTCAAGCCGCTGCCGCGTCTCTGGGATCATCATCGCGGACTCAGCTAGAACATTTTCCTGTGAACAATTGTGATAGATGCTGAGCACAAGGTAGATGGAAATGCTGCTAAAACGCAGCTGGGTTTCAGTTGCAAAACGGCGGTGCTCTGGGTCTGCGGACCAAGCGCACGGCTGTCGGGCTGCTGCGCGTCGCAAGGACGCACCGCCTGCTTCAGATCGTGTGCATCAGCCCCCTCCGTCCGGAGACGATCCAACCGCGACTGCTCTTTATCCTTTTCGGCCAAGTAGTAGCTGAACTCCTTCTGCAAGCGCTTCAAAGTGTTTGTCTTGATCTTGATGGTCCTAATGACATCTGCTTGCGACATAAGTGCGAGTATTGCGCCTCAGCGGGGACGCGGTGCAAAGCAAGCCGGGTGATCAGGCGCGAAAGTTGTGCGATCTCGGTGCAGAGGTACCGTACTACGGTATGCTATGTGATTGGCAAGGTGGGATGTGACAGGCAATTCCATCAGACGGAAGCGGCAGTGCATTACTGGTACCGTCATGTTCTCGTGGATGCCGTGGCTTACATCGCGCCTGCAGGGTGCTCTGCTGCACTATCGTAGTTCATTGATCAGACTCGGCTCTGCATGTGTCGCTCACCCACCTGATGCAACATCCAAGCGCCTCGGATGTGGCCAGCTGCCACGCAGACACGCAACACAGCACTACAGGGAAAATGCACCTGGGCCGACGGTCTCGACGCTCAGGATGGGCAGCGCACCCCAGATGCTAGCAACGCGGGTGGGAGGCATTGCCCCGGTGCAGCTGCCAGCTTCACCGGCCACCGCTGCACGTGCCGCCGCCATCATAAGTGCCACCGCCTGGTCCACTTCCGCCGTGTGCAGCTCTTCAGGGACTGAGAAGGCCAGCAGCGACGTGTTGACGACGAGCCTGCGCCCGGTGCTACTGACATTGCCAGCAGTGTGTTGACCGGTCAGCTGCCGCAGCGCCGTGCAGGGCAAGCGTATTGTAAACAGGTGCAGCCGACCCGCAGACAGCAGCCTGCTGGCCTTTGCTGCATCCTCATAGCCGCATACGCAGTAGATCACTGGGTAGCCCAGCAGCCAGCCGTTGAGCGTAGGCATGCAAGGCAGCCCTGCAATTGTGCCAAGGTTGAGCACAGGCCAGGCCGGCTCATCCGCAGCTCCTGCGCCCGCAGTGGAATCCGTAACGGCCGCGTGGCACTGTCTGACAGCTGCTAGCAGGGGCCACATTTGGCGTTTCAGGGCCTGCGCAGCGAGTGAAGCAGGGTCGTGCGTGCTTGACACCAACGTGCAGCACGGCTTGCGTGCCATCATCCCACGCCTGTGGCTGCCTGCTGGCTGGATGTGTTGTGCCTCGCCAGTCAGGAGCCTGGGCGTGACGCGCTTGCGCTTTCATCTCACCTGCGCCTGAGCATGGCCCGCCAATGCAGGTGAAGCGCCCTCGAAGCTGACCAGCACGGGCTGTGTTGTGCTGTGGCTGCTGGCGCCGCCCCTGCTGCTGCTGCCGCCCATTGCGCTGCAGCCGCAGCCACCCTCCCCCAGACAGCCCTCCAGGCGCCGCTCCAGATGCGCCAGGTCAGCGATGTAGCAGCAGCCGTCGAGCACCAGCACTCCACCTGGTGGCCGCAGACGTGGCATGAAAAGCGGGCAGGAGGGGTGTCAGGGTGCGACACAGGTCCCTCCATGACGAGAAAGGCATGTTACAAGGTAGGACTGGCCTGAAGGAACAGGCACGGCAGCGCCAGGCCAGGCGCTTCACAATACACAAGTGACTAGCGTCCGCACCTTGAAACCCGCCGGCGCCACTCAGTGACACGAGCGCCGCGCGAAGCTCGTGAGGCTGCACACGTGCGTAATCAACCATGGCCACCGCTCGCAACCCGCAGGCCACCGCCAGAGCGTCATAGGCCAGGCGCTCGCGGTGCTTGACCAGCGGGCGGAAGCGGCCGATGCCATCCTGCCGAAAGCGCACGCATTGTGTGTGAACACCAGCTCTTCACAAGACAGGGCGTGGCAACTGAGCCAGAACAGTAAGATTATTACCCCTCAAACAACCCCCCCCCCACACACACACACATAAACGGTATCCATGCCTGCTCACCCAGAGGGCCTGGACGACACCATCCACGGCCCCGTCAGGCCCTCCATCGTCGGCCATCTGCAGCCGCCGCTCAGTACACCGCCATCATCTGCTGGCGCCACGCGACAACGGCAGATGGGAGCTGAGAGGCAGCAAAGCACTCGCCTGCTCGTCCACCGCGGCGTCACCAACGACGATGGCGCTGCTTGCCTGTCCCGCTGCCCCGGAATCGCCGCCGCCGCCGCTAATAGCAGCACCCGACGAGGCGACTGCCGCCGCCGCGCGTCCTGCGCCCCCCAGCAGGCCCTTTTCTGCGCTGGCGCGCGCCACCAGTGCGGCCTCCCTGGCCAGGTACTCTGCGTAGTGCTCCAGGTCCCCCGCGCCCTTGAGGCCCTCCTGCAGCACGCGCAGCTTGGCCTGCCAGGCGGTCAGGGTCGCGCGCGCCTCTGACAGCTCGCGGCGAAGCAGCTGAGACTCCGTCTCAAGCAGCTTCTGGGTCTCGTAGATCTGCAGGGGAGGGTCGAGGGGGGACGCAGTGAGATCTCACAGTTCTGCAGGAGAACGGCGGGAGAGGGATTATGGTGACTTGGGGGGCTTGTGGGGGCCAGGGAGGTGGGGAAGGGAATTCCGTTAGCTGTACCCCAGGCTTGCGCAAGGCCACATCACGAGCGGCGGTGTGCCAGGTTGATCAGCTGTCCATCCAGTTGACTCAGCGTTTGTGCGAATTGCCCCTCGTGCCACCCTGCATGCGCCCCTGCGAAGAGATGCCACCACCCCTATCGTTTACCATGTTCTTGCCTGGAACAACCCGCCCCACCACCACCGCCCGCAACGCGGCCCCGCCGCTGCCCACCACACCTCGCGAACCTCCTCGTTGAGCGAATCGGTGAGCACGTCCGAAAGCTTGGCTGCAGCCCTCAGGGCGCTTGCAGCATGCGCCTCTGCGTGGCGAGGGTCGTGGCGCCCTGATGTGTTACATGGCCGACTTGAGCAACCGCATGCATCGGGCATCCCCGCAGGCTGCTCACCTGCCTCGGCCTTGAGAGCAGACTGCTTCTGCCACGCCTTGTGCACGGGGTTTTGAAACATGTGGCACTCGATCAGATCATTTTGATCGCAGGATTGTTTAATGTGGAACCACGTCGCCGGTATCTGCAGGGCAATGTGAAATAGCAAAATTGCTCATGATTTCTGGAACAATAATACAAAGGACGGTCTTGACTCCCGTGTTGTGCGTCTTTTGTTACCAGCTCTTCCACGCCCTCCACTTTGCCCGACCAGGGGCACGCGAGTACCAATCTACGCACTAGTAGGAACCCTCCCGTATTGCCTGCCACGCCAGCGTCACGCGTGCGCACGCTGCGTGCGAAGCGGGCCAGACGCACACGACAGGTGCTGCGGGGCGGGGCGCATCCTTGAAGCACGGCGAAAGCCCCACAGACCTTATTTTTGTGCGGACCTGCAAGCAGCAGCGCATAATCCTGCTACGAGGCCCACGCAACAGCGCGGCCGGCAGCGGCAGCAACCGGGCGCAGCACGCCCTTGCATCCACGACCCCTGGGTGGCCCCTGGGCGGCCCTGGAGGGCTGGCGACTTTGTGATGGCGAGCTACCTGAAGAAGTATGTGGACCGCGTGCATGACGTGCCGCCACAGCTGCAGCGCCTGTTCAAGCTGATCCGCGACCTCGACGAGCGCGTGGCAGCCCTGCAGGCCGCGGTCGAGGACAAGTGCCGCGACAGCCTGGCCGGCAGCGCGCCCAACAAAAAGCAGCGCACCAAGGCGGAGGCTGCGCAGCGAGATGAGATCAACGCTGACATGCAGAAAATACTCAGCCTGTCCGAGGAGAAGGTGCGCGGGGGGTCGGGTGGTTTGGTGGGGGGGAAAGGGGGTGAATAGCATCACTGACGGGCCGCAGCAGCCTTGCTATTCACTCCTTAGTTGACGAGCAACACCTTCTGGCAGCCGCCTGGCGAACACAATGACGTCGCGCTGACTGACAGTCTCGCCACACGCGCTCCCCTCCATTCCTGCGCGCCGTACGCTGTCATGCAGGTGCGCATCGCCGCGCAGTGCTATGACTTTGTGGACGGCCACATCCGCCAGCTGGACGAGGATCTGCGTGCCTTCGACGGGGACCTCTACTCAGACAGGGCGCGCCTGGGGCTCAAGGTCGGGCAGGGGGACGGGGCAAGGCGCAAGGGCAGGGACGGCGGCTGAGGTGTCGGGGCTCCGGGGCTGGCTCGCGCCCGATGGGTGGGACGGCTGAGCGAGCGTGCTGTGGGTCTCGACCTCAACGCAGTGCAGCGTGCGAGTCATGGCAAAAGCAGTTGTTGTGCACGGACTGCTGGGTCCTCGCCCTTGATTGTGCACCCCACCCCCACCCCCACCATCTTGCCAGGATGGCGAGACCGCGTCCAAGGCCCTGGGCATAGAGTCAGATTACCCCGCCAACGCACCAGGGGCAGTGCGGCAGAAGCGCAAGTACACGCGGCGCAAGGGCACCGGCGGCGGCACGGAGCCAGCAGGCGCAGGTGCGGGCACTGGCAGCAGGGTGGTTTAGGGGCCTGCATCTAACGCCGTGATGCTTGGGGCTTGACAGGCGGCGTGGGTCCAGCATCACTTGTGAAGTGACGGGGCTGGCTGCACGAGTGCCTCTACGGCTCACACTTGCTGTGTGCACCGCACCTCTTTGTGCCCTCAGGGTCCCCAGTGGCAGCGCAGGCAGCGCCCATGGCGCTGGCGGCTGCCACCGCGCTGGCTGACAGCAGCGAGCCGCGCTACTGCGTGTGCAACAACGTGAGCTACGGCGAGATGATTGCCTGCGACAACCCGGACTGCTTCATAGAGTGGTTCCACTACGAATGCGTCGGCATCACGCAGCAGCCCAAGGGGTGAGCGGGGCAGATGCAGGGGTAGGGGGCGGGCGCTGAGCCGTGGGCCTGCCGGTTTCGGAGTCTGAGCAGAGCGCGTTTGCTGGTTCCATACGTGTTGGGCCATGCTTGCGCAGCCACTTTGCCGATCCCTGCTGCATACCTCTGCTTACCCTTGCTCACCCCTGCAGGAAGTGGTTTTGTCCGCAGTGCAGGTCGGCAGGCTTCGGTGGCGGCTCATGACGCCCAGCTGTGGTGCAACATTGTATATTACAGAGCTGGCAAAGTTTCATCGCCATCTCTGCGCAACCGTCAGCCAGTGACTTGGGTTTCATGCATGCATCATAACACTGGTCCTGCATCGACTTGCTGCCACCTGTGATCAGTCTCAACAAGTTTGTCGAAGCGGCACCTGCTGTACTTGCGGCTACTCCTCTTTACTGCTTGGAGCGGCTGTCAGCTCCCAAAGCTCCAGGTCAGGAGACCGATCATACTGCAGGGACTGGATCAGAAAAACAGGGAGCGAAGGGGAGCATGACGTGCGCGATAAGGGAAAGGGGGGCAAGCATGACGCAACAAGGCATTGCGCAGGTCAAGCTGAGCAAGGTGGTGCGCCCCGTCAAGCCAATTCCAAATCCGGACCAAATCCTCTCACCTGCGGCGGCAGCTGAAGCCGTCGGCCATGAAGCAGCGGCCGCGGCGCTTGAGAAGTAGGCGCGCCTGACCTTTTGGCAGCGGCGCCTACTCCTTGAACACCAGCGTCTGCGCCCTCCACGTCAACAAATGACAAGAAGTGCTCCCATGCCGCCGCACGGGGCCGCGTGGCGTCTGATAGGGTGAAATTGTAGCGCTTCTCAGCCGCAAGCAGCAGCCGCAGAGGGGCCGCTGCAGCGGCCGCAGTGCCCTGGGAGGTGCCGCCGCCACTGCCAAGCAGCCGCCGCCGCTCCACCCAGCGCATGATGCAGGATGCAGCGTGTACAAAGGCCTCTGTGAGGGGCGGATCATACACCACGTCCGCTGCCAGCAGCGTGTCAACAGAGAGCAGGAGGTGCAGGTCGTCAGGGGACCAGCGAAACGAGCTGTTGATGTCTCTTGATGGCAGGGGTACCGCATGGCTCTGCTGCTGCTGCTGCTGCTGCTGCTGCTGCTGCTGCTGCTGCTGCTGCTGCTGCTGCTGCTGCTGCTGCTGCTGCTGCTGCTGCTGCTGCTGCTGCTGCTGCTGCTGCTGCTGCTGCTTACTGCCCAGGCCCTCTACGCTGTCACCGTCACAGCTGATTGCTTGACCATTCAGCAGCCGCAGCATCTCGCAATCCGTCAGGCTGTAAGGGTCCACGCCCAGAAAGTCAAACCACGACAGATGCCGTACAAGTGTGGTGCCGGCTGCTCTGCCAGGCAAGGCGGAGCTGGCGCTGGCGATCGAGATATTGGCTGCTGCTAGTTCTAGCACAGTCGCCGCGCAGTCTGTGGCAATGAAGAGAGGGCAGCGCAGCCGCGCCGCAGACAGCGCTGCCAAAAGTCCAAGACCGCTGCCAAGCTCCAGGGCGTGCCACCTTTCCGCGCCGCTGCGCAGCGCCAACGTAGCATCCGCGAGCAAGCATGCACCTCGCCAGACCTGCTCCCCGCACCGACTCAGCGGGGTTGCCATGGAGTGGCGCAGCAGGACATGGCGCACAGCAGGGCGGCGGAGCAGCGGCTCCTCGCCCACGCTGGCATCGACGCCGTCGTCCTCGCCGCTGCTGCTTGTGCCGCTACAGCTGTGGTGGATCTCATCTTCGGGATCTCTGTAGTGAAATCGTGAGCTTATGAGGCCGGGCACGTGCTGAGTCTCCAAATGTAGATCGCTCAGGACTACATCCGCCTCTTCTCGTTCAGGATGTGACATTTTAACATTTTTGGCGCGTAAGGATGCTTCGCTCACATCTTCTGCTTTTAGCTACCAACCAACCTTTCGAGCCGGCTTTCATGGCCGGTGTCACTCGGTCACAAGGCCGGGGTGTCTGCGCGGTGACAGTGCAATCCCTCAGAATTGATGCCTTTGAATCACATTAGAAGATGTGTGTGAGCTCCTTTGCACTTCAGCACATTATGAACTGTGGTTCAGCCGCGCCACAGTTCCAACTCTTAGTGTGGCGATGGGCTCAATGCGCAACTGCCATCATGGTCAAAGCAGGGATGGTTTGGGTGTGGCTCAGCCCCAGCCCCAGAAGCACGCCAACTTTGAGCACCATCCAGCTGACATTTTTCGCCACCGACATGCTGCTGCACGCCTTTCGATTGTACAAAGCTGCATCCAGCTGAACTCATTGACGTGTCGGTGGATGGCTTTCATTTCATTCACGGTCCTTACAACAGCTAGAGCGGGCAACGGGATTGCAGCAGTTGAGTCTCACATCAAATGGGTGTCGGCAGACTGCGGCTGTGACTGCACTGCCGCCCTGACCCGGCGCTCATGCTGCTGCACCAAGATGCGCCACTGCCGTGTCAAGGTCGGCCTGAGCCCTCAAGCAAGCCAACCACAGGGCGTCGCAGCGGGCACTGCCGGACGGCACCAGCCGCAACATGCCGCAGTCGTCCGCCTCTGCCGCGACCCGCTTCCCAGGCTGCTGCACGAAGAGGCCGCTGCTACCCCGCTGGTCGCGACCGACGTTAGTGGCGCCTGCATCCCAATGATGCCCGTGTTGCTGCTGTTGCTGCTGCTGCTGCTGCTGCTGCTGCTGCTGCTGCTGTTGCTGGTGCTGGTGCTGCTGCTGCTGCTGCTGCTGCTGCTGCTGCTGCTGCTGTTGCTGCTGTTGCTGCTGCTGCTGCTGCTGCTGCTTCAGAGCGGCCTCTATTGCGCGGCTGTGCAGTGCCAAGGCCTCTTCAAGCGCGTCAATGGCGGCAGCACAGCCAGCCAGGGACTCACGACTGGCGGGGCTCTCCTCAACACGCAGGCCACACGTGTGGCCGACACCGGCATCAGCACCGCTGTCGTCTCTAGTGCAGCTGCTGGAGCGTTGTTCCAAGCTCATGGCCTGGGCTGCTGCCTGCACCAGCGCGACACGCAGCAGCTCCAGGTCAGCCAGGCAGCTGCCGCACAGCTGTGCTTCCGCCAGCTCTTCACGACCATGCAGAAGCAGCTCAAGGTAGGGGCCTGATTTTGTGCATCCAAGTTTTGGCGCCTGGGCCCGCTGCGGCGCAGCCCAGGGCGAGGGGGGACGCAGCACAAGGCAGATGTGCATGCCGCTGTCTGCTGCTGCGCAAGCAGCCTCCACTGCTGCTTGCTGTTGCTGCTGTTGCTGCTGCCACGTCTGCTGCCACGTCTGCTGCCACGGCTGCTGCCACGGCTGCTGCCACGGCTGCTGCCACGGCTGCTGCCACGGCTGCTGCCACGGCTGCTGCCACGGCTGCTGCCACGGCTGCTGCTGCTGCTGCTGCTGCTGCTGCTGCTCCAACCCTGCGCCGCCTGCAAGCTCAAAACCCATGTCCAAGACGAGCGCCCGCAGCATCACCGCCAAGGAGCCCCTTGAACCGCCATGCACCAGCAGGTGTCGTCGCTGATGCATGCAGGGATGAGCAGCGGTGTCCCGATCAATGTCTACTGCGCCACCTCCGCCGCTGCTGCTTGGCGCTGCTGGCTGTCTCATGTCCTTGAGCTCAGCAGCACTATCACCCCTCCGCAGACACCGCGACTCGTGCGGTATGTCTGGCAACGCCGCCATGATCCCCCCGGTCAATGCCACCGCTACCGCTGCCCCCTGAACATCCGGCAGCTCCTCTGTGGGCGCTGCCGCATCTCGCATCCGCAAGGCTGGCAGCTGGACTGCCGCCAATGCGTCGCCCTCTCCTGACACTAACTGCTGCTGCTGCTGTCTCGCTGCCACCGCTGCTGCTGCCATAACCGCACGCGGCGGCTGGGTCAGCGTAATGGGGTGAGATGATTCACTGAGCTCTGACTCCTCGATGATCGCATGGTCGTCATCATCCTCATCCTGCTGCTCATCATATCGTTGACTGGTGTCGTTGTACCCTACCTCCTGCTGCTGCTGCTGCTGCTGCTGCTGCTGCTGCTGCTGCTGCTGCTGGTGCTGTTCCTGCTGCTGCTGCCGGGCCTGGCGAGTGTCATCACCTGCCAGCAAGCCCTGTGCTACCGTTCGCGCTGTGGCTTCTCCCGCTTCCTCGCATGCCGCTCGCCCGTGCATCACCAGCCTCGCTCGCCCGCCCAAAGCTGGCTGGTCACCCTCCACGGCAGCTGTTGCAGAGGCTGGGTTCTGCACCGGGGCACAGCTCCCGAGCCGCTGCGCCGCCCACTCCTCAACGGCTGCCCCGACCGGCTGCAGCAGCAGCACCCCGCTGGCCTGCGGCACTGCCGCGCTACCGCTGCCGCCTTTCGCCAGCATGGGGAGGACCTCTGCTGAAACGACCACGCCCACCTCCAGCCAGCAATATTCTGCGCTGCTGCCGTCGCAGCCTGTGGCGCTGCTGCTGCAGCCTCGGGCGTCGTCGTTGCCGCTGCCTGCGCCGTCCAGCGCACTTGTGGACAGCTCCTCGACGATTTCAACGTAGGGGTTGCTGGCCTGCCCCACCTCCCCACCCTCGCTGATAGCCCAGCCCTCCTCCTCCAGGGCGCCACGCGCAGCAGTCCCTGGCGGAGATGGCGCCGTCCTGCCGCCGTGAGCAGACGCGCGCCGCCACCGCACCTCCTGCCGCGCCCTCTGCTGCGCTGCCACAACCGGCAGCAGCTGGGCGAGCCCCACCGCCGCCTCCACGGTCAGCAGCCCTGCCGCCGCGTCCCACTGCCAGCTGCTGTGCGCGGATAGTGGGAGCGCCGCATGCCACACCAGCAGGGCGGCCTGGTTGGGCCGCACAGCAGGGCCCTCCCACCGCCGGGCCGCACAGTCTCTACTGCCGCCTCCGGCCGCACTCGCAGGGCCGATGGAAGCGCTGGAAGCCAAGGGTTCTAACCCCGTCACGACTGCCGGCTGGATCTGTGCGGTGATGACCGCCTCGTCCCCCATGACCTTGCAACTGCAGCTGCGGAGCTCCAGCAGCAGCTGCGCGGCTGGCGCTGTCAGACCCCGCACCTCCAACTCGGCTGCCGATGCTGCCGATGCGATGCTCGGTGCTCCGCGGCTGCTTGCCTGCTGCCGCAGCAGCACCAAGAGCGCCGCCACTGCACCGCAAGGATCGAGCGCCCCCAGCGGCAGTGACTGCTGGCGCACCGGCACCGCTGTCGCCACCACTTGGGCCGCCGTCATGCAATCGTCGCCGGTGCCCCGGCCGCCGCACATGATTTGCAGGGCGGGCTGCTGTATAGATGCCGCGGCCAGGCTGGAGAGGTTTGAGGCGGCGACGGTGAGGGCACCGCGCCGCGCTGAAATTGCCCAGGTGAGACGGCCAACGTCTTGGCAGCCTGGGACCGTGTTTTTTTTGGGGGGGGGGGGAGGGGGGATGTTGCGCAATCAAAGGTTTGAGCTTGCAAGGTGGTGGGCGCAACAAAGACAGCAATGCGCAGCGCTTGAATTTGCCAGGCCTGTTCGTGTAAGGCGTGATGCCACGTGTACGTGTGGTGCAGGGTGCCATGTGTACTTGTGCAGAGCAGCCAAGCACAATCAGAGCCCATCACAGGAGCGCATTTTAGAACGAAAGCACCCAGCCCTGAGCAGCACGGCCCACCTTGCTGCCACAGGCTCCGCAAAGAGCCCAGGATGGCACCCAGTCCCTCCGCCTCGGCCGGAAAGCTGACCTGTCCGCCCTGGCCAGTGCTGGCCGCTGCCACGTCCTCTCGACCTGAGGCGTCCCCCTCGCAGCCATCCTCAGCGGGCCCGGCCATGAGGCACACCGCCGACAGGCGCCCTGCAGCGCCGCCGGTGCTGCTGCCCCGGTCTTCAGGCAGAAGCACCTCGCAGCGCTCCCCCACGGGCTCTCCGCCGTCAGTGCCGCCGCAGGTTGGCTCGCCGCTGTCTTCGCCACCGCCGCCGCCGCTGGTGTGCAGAATCACGACCGCCACAGCCCTGTCTGCACCCCCCACCCGGCATCCCTCTTGCACAGCAGCTTCGGATGACAAGTCGGCCGGTGGTGCAACGAGGCCGATGCCGCCGCCAGGCACGACCAGCGCTGCTGCGCCTTTGATGAGTGCAAACTGCTGCATTCTGGCATTCTTGTCCCCTGCAGCGCCGCCAACGCTTGGGCTCCTGCTGTTGCTGCCTGCTCCGGACAACAGGGTAACCACCAGCCCGCCTTGACCTTGGCTGACCGGTTCTGAGCTCACCCGCCGCCGCCTGCTCCGCTGCTGAGGGTGCGGTTGCTGCATTTTGCTGCCAGCCTGCCCTGCCGCGTGCAGCACAGCAAGTGCCGCAGCAAGTGTTTGCCGACCAATGGCAACTCGTGGCACCATCTCTATCTGCAAGACTGCGCCTGTCACCTGTGCGGCAGCTGCCACGGCCCCAGATTGCAGGTCCAAGACCGCGACCCAACCGCTGCTGGATCCCAGAGCTATCCACTGCTGCTGCTCTTGCTGCTCTTGCTGCTCCCGGCGACAGTCTTGCCGTTGCCCCCGCAATAACAGCTCACTGACGCATGCGCTGCTGCTTCCACTGATCCAGCATGCGGCCGACACGTCAGGAGCCCCGAGCGCCCACCAGCCGCTCAGCTCTATGCCGCCGTTGATGCCGCCGCTTACAGCGAGCTGCAGCAGAACGCAGCCGGTAGCTGCCAGCCTGCCGCCGTTCTCCTCCTGGCTGTGCTGCTCGTCGTGCAGCCCGCTGTGCTGCTGCTGCTGTCCCTGGGGCCCAAGCCATACCCAGGCATCCAGCTTGCCATCGCTTCCAGCGCTGCAATGCACTAGGCCCCATCCCAGCTGCTCTGTCGCTGCTGCTGCCGCCCAGCTGGTGCGCTGTGGCGTGCCTGTGGGCAGCAGCCGCAGGAGGCCTGCACTGGTCAAAGGCAACTCCAAGCAGCCCCAGCCCTGTCCCCCTTGGCCACAAAGCCCATGTGAAAAAAGCAGGAGCCCCTCGCAGCAGGTGCCCCGCTTCTGCATGCTGCCCGCACGCTGCTGGTGTGGCTGTGGCTGCTGCTGCTGCTGCTGCTGCTGCTGTGGCTGCTGCTGCGGCTGCGGCTGCTGCTGCTGCTGCTGCTGCTGCTGCTGTGGCTGCTGCTGCTGCTGCTGCTGCTGCTGCTGCTGCTGCTGCTGTTGCTGCTGCTGCTGCCGCTGCTGTCCCTCTGAGGCTACGCCGACGCTGCTGTTGCCTCGCATCTGGATGGAGACCACAGGGCCGTCCCAAAGGGCGCAGGCATTGCTCGCCGCGCCGGCAACGGCTGCATGGTGCAACTCTTGAGACGTCTCAAAGAGCCAGCCGCCAGAACCGTGCGCGGGCTGCCCACTGCATTCGCCGCCGCCATCATAGCTCAGCTGTCGGACGGCCAGAGACGTGCCTGTGCGTGTCACGACAGCCGGGCACTTGACTCCCAACGGCCCCACGGCCACGCAGCCAACAGCAAGCACCTCATCACCACCGTCAGCGCCGCTGGGGGGTGGCGTCAACGGCGATAGGCGCAGAGGCACGCCGCCAGCACTTCCGCCAGCTGTCCGCTGGCCCTGGGGGCTGCGGCGCAGCATAAAAGCCGAAGGCAAGCGTTGTGCGCCATCCTGGGCGAGGAACAGCAGCTGGTGGTCGGCTGAGCCACGTATGCGGACCGCTGCAGCCTTGATGGGCCCTGCATGCAATGCGCGAATGGGGATGCAGCAGCGGCAACAGGGAAGGCGGCCATGGGCAAATACAGCAGTGGTGACGCAGCCAGCGCCGTGCACCAGTCGCGGGGGTGCCAAAGAAAGGGTCCCCTCACCTACGCCACCCTCTGCGTCACTATTGCTTGCTGCATGATCATCAATGCCCTGAAAGATGTCCAGAACAGAGCACTTTGGCGCTCCCGCCATTTCCATTTACACCACTGCATATTCTAGGCGCGTTGTCTTTCAACCCGAAGATGTTTTACGCTTGTGAAAAGTTCGTGAACCGTGCATCCGCTGCCGATCCCAGATCAAGAGATCAAAATCTTGCCGCCAGATGAGCCCGAGCACTCCGTTGCTTGAAGGCCGCACAGGCTCAATTTACGCGTGACAAGCAGCAAGTCATCTTGTCCTGGTGGGGTATGATACGATGACGGTGCATGCTGGTGAACCAGCGGCTTCCTGATCATTGACTCGTGGTGAAGGTGACAAATGCATGTGACTTGATCCAAACAGATCAGCTGTGCGCTCGCGGGTTCCAGGTTACAACCAAAGTGTGTGGGGGTAGGATGGGGCAACTGAATACCCAAGTGCCCAAAGAGTCAGGCCCGCCGGCCGCCGCCCGACCTGCACGCTGCTGCAGCGCACGCAACGGCTCGGCGCGCCGCGCGGCGCCTGCCGTCCCCCCAGGGCTGGGAGGGTGGTTGTGAAAATCCTGTGCTCGCGCCTGCTGCTCTGTGGCCAGCAGCGCACAACACGTGCAAATGAGAAGAAGAAACAAACGTACGTGGGCGGCGTGCCAAGGGGGTGTCACCCAGGCGTCACTCCAGCTGATCCCTGGGGAACACAAGTGTTCCCCGCCGCCGAGTAGGGGGCATACAGGGTACATCTCGCCTCCATAGCTGATGTGGAGGGCAGCACTTGCGTTGCCATGACAATATTCCTGCAGCATCATCGCTGTTTGGGCATGCTGGCGGGTGACGGCCAAACGCTCGCACACGCCCCAAAAACCTATATGCGCCCCCCATCGGCCCCCTGCACGCCCCGCCGC